GTAGCATCTCACAACCCAGGGAATGAAAATTAATGCAATAGCATGATAAAATGCTCGTCCATAATTTATGTGGCTACATTTGGCACAAAGGAAACATTCTCCGAAAATCATAATTTACAGGACTCTTGATAGAGACACCATTTTTCCCACATTTTCTTGTCACAGCATCTTTGGGGCATATATGAGAGCATTATTCATGCCATTGAAGCATTATATACTCTTATTCTCTCTCTAAATTCACGCCCACACCTCCGCACTCAGAGTGAGACACACTCAATTTTGACTTTCCAAAAACATCATCCCATTTCTGGCAAATTTCGTATTTATTTAAGCCATTTTTCCAAGCAACTGAGAGAAAACTCAAGGATGCGAATTCACGAATTTCTCATTATTCGCTTATTTCTTGTCAATTTAGGAAATTTCGTGGAGAATTTCTGCTATGATAAAGAGAGAGAATGTGGGTAAAGTCATTGTTGATTATGCTCCCCATTTTGCACATCCACGCAGTCAAAATATGCTCTGAAGTTGTGGCGGAACATTTTGAGATGTTAAATCGAAAATAAACATACTGCAGCATACTTGCTCTCGTGGTCAAAGTCAACATCATTTGATTTAACATAGCATCACGTTCATTCACCACCGACTGAAAAATTCACTACACCAACTTATGCTATGATATGAAGAATAGTTAACAGAGTAAATTGACAGTAAATATTTCAGAGAATTTCATCCAAGGGGGAAATAATATGCGATATTTCTGTAAAAATCCACTTCAAACCGCTTTTTTGAGCGTCTTTTTCAATCATAACCTCAAAAATATCACTAAGAGATCTTAAAAGACTTCAATTGGAAGCTTTCTAGATGATAAAATCAATCAAAATCGTCAAAATGGTTCAGAAAGTGATCTAAATTATCATTTTTCAAGTCTACATTACTCTTTTCGAGGTTATGTTCGATTTCAACACAATTTGCAGTGTTTTTTAACATAAAAAGATCAGAATATCTTATTCTGCCAAGAACTAGCAATCTTGACAAATTTAGCATAAGAAATAATGTGCTAAAATGCGAAATATTCACTAAATCCGTCTAGGATTCGTTACATAACCTAGAAAATTATGGTTTCTTCGTACAATTCAGAAGAAACCCAAGGAATCTGGGTAATTAGTCAGTAAAAAAAAGCAAGCAGAAAAGGAGGATTCTAAGTTTTTAAATACTTGAACTTCTTAAGCACTTCAGCTGATCTGTACACCACTTCTGACTGTACTATCTCCCCCTTGATTTTATCAACAGAATCAACAGTGGGAATAAAGTAGGGAAAAACCTCATGAAAGCCATATCATTAGCACCACAAATAAAATCACTCGGGAATAAACGAAAAATCTGTGTGAATTTCATAACACTCCAAGACAAATTTTAAATAAATTCCCTAAACACACAAATTCCATAAAGTTGAGCTGTAGGAAAACTGCAAATTGTGAGTGAGTTTGGGTGGTAAATTTACCATGACTGAAGCCTTATGACTTTTCTCACACACACTTATGCTGAGATTATGTTATTTACCTTTTCAGGGGGAAAATTCACGTGGCTTTGAGTTCTTTTTTTTCATTTGGAGCATAATGTACTTGTTACAGGGCGGAGCTCTGAGGCCTCATAACAACTCACGAGGAGGCACATGAATAATTTGGAGCTCTTCCTCACGCTGAAAATCTCATTGAGGGATCTAATTGAAATATTACTCGTGTGGAGTGTATGAATTTGTGAGCTTCTCAGGGATGATTTCTCCTTGAACAGGACGAAGAAGTGGGCAAGCGAAAAAAGGAAAGTTGATGTTGATGTTTAAACACGTGGTGTGCTTTTCCTCCCCTTTAAACCACTGTATACAGCACATATAATAATCAGTGGTTGGAGTTTGGCCACGAAATGGCGAGAAAAAGGATTTTCCGCATTGAGTGGAAAAGCTCTGACCATTGATTTACATCTCACTTCTTCCATGGCTAATAAACAAAATTTCCCTCACATTATGCCAAAGTTCATTCTCATTTTCCGAGTCCGCCCCCCTCTTGTGGGTAGACATATATATTTATATAACACCGTTTGCATTTTATTGGGTAATTCTAGAGGGTATTTTCAAATGAAAAATTATGCATAGAGCTAAGTTTGCAATTTACTGCTGTTCATCCCACATAATTTTCACCCCTCGAAAAAGCGCTATACCGTCTCATAGAGAGTGAGAGAGAGCTTTACATCGTGTGGCTTCTTCTATGCTTTTATCCGACTGATAAATAAATTTACAACTTTGTGTGCTAGAGATGATATCGCTCAGCCAGTGAAAAAGACACGCTCATGAGTTGAAATTATTGGAAATTTTCCCTTAAAATTCGCTTAAGAGGAAGATAATGAGAACTTTTCGAATTATATTGGTAATTAAGACGGAACTGCGAGAGAGATATTCACTGTGAGAGACAACGACGATGACTACCGGAGGTGGTGGACCGAGAGTACACAAAAAAGTGGCAGAGAAGAGGAATTAAGGAAGACAATTTTCACAGCACGAAGAATTGGACATTTTGAATATGTTTGCCAAAGATGCTTTTATTATTCTGTGCCACTTCTCTCTCTTTTCTCCTCCTTCCAACAAATTGCCGCTTATTTTCACACGACACTCTCTCCATTGTAATTTCTCGCCAAGGGTGGTTTTGCTGTGGCGGAGAGTGGGCGAGTAAAGCTTCTCGCCCCTTCTGCAGAGGGTCAATCATATGGAAATTACAAGTACGTGTGGTCAAGACAACCACAGCGAAAAGTGGAGCAAATAAAGCATTGCACGCGTTAAAATAAAGCATTGTTAAGCGAATGGATGGAATGACAATCATCCCTTGACTTTTAGAGACTGTTTAGAATTACATTCTATCGACTGAAGAGTCATGTTTGTAATAATTTCATCTTCAAAACACACCATCAGGCAGACTAATTTGGAACAATTCCGATAGGAAAATAAATAAGAAGGCTGCAAAGCAAATTTACTCGCGATCCTTTTTGTCACGAAATGAGAATGAACTGAAAATGAGAATTATCCTTAAAAGCACAAAACCAATTATGTGTGCTGTTGAGGAATTACTAAGTCTTGCTTTTCATTCACCATCAGGAAAAGCTTCAAACTGTCAAGAATATTACACAATTGCTTGTAATGGGAAATTTTATTTTCATTTGCCATTCTTTACCAGCGAAAACTGCGGACAAACTCTGGGCAAACTGAGCACAGTGTTTTGAAATAATGTTGCAAATCTCGACAGGAGTCTCATAACCACTAATCACAGTGTCAATTAATTCCCTATGCGCACCCTCCTAGTGCTCTGCACACGAAAATTATCCACCCTCTGGTGTTGTGTGTAGGTCGCCGCTGTGGTTTTGGGCGTCGAAGTGCGAGGGGAGCCAGAAAGAATAAGGTTGATTTATGAGAGAGTCGTTTAAAACAGTTGGAAGCATCTTTCCTATCATGAGCTTAATAATCATCCGTCAGTTTTCCGAGTGGATTTTTGATATGAGAGCATTCTTTCTCGCTCTCTTTCGTCATCCCCTCAAGCCTCTCATTTTTCCCCGCACCATCCAATTAATTTACCCGCGCGATGTATCAAGTGAATTATGTGTAGACTTTCAGAGTGAGACAAAGTGTGAAATTTCCCGCCAAAAGTTTCAATTTTCCACCCAGCAGAAGACATCACTCAATTTTCCGCCCGACGACAAAATACACACGCGATAATTAATTGGTGAAAATGTAACAAATTTGTCGAAATTTCGTCATTTTTCCACGGAATTTTCCAACATCTACAAAATGTCAACGGCTACGCAAACTTTTGGGGATAATTCAATGAACAAATAGCCACTTTAAGTCATCCTTCACACTTATTTGCTGTGATAATCAAATATTTGGCGAAAATTCTCTCCAAAGTCTGTGTACAGAATTTTTGCAATCAATGTTACATAAGTTTTCCATCTCGTCAGCTTCTGTAATCCGCAAAACTTCAGCTTTGACAAATTAATGCGCTTTTTTCCTGACCAACTGTCTCTCTGTTGCCGTTCATGAGGACTTTTTTTTTCAGCAATCATCGTCGTTTCTCTTCTTTTCCCATCCCAAAAACGGAAAAGTATCACTTTGTATTCTCCGCATTTCACTAACAGAGATATTTAACAGCTTCCAGAGAATGACAATAAATTTTATAAAGATATATTACAATTTTTATATTTGTTCAGATCCTATGGAAAAAAAATGGTAATTCAAACTGTTCTAATTAAAATTCAAATAGAAAATGAGAGATTTTTATGAATTCTGAAGCTTTCTTCTATTTTTCTTAGCTGTAAAAAAATATATCAGTCTCATATTGAAAATAAGCAATTAACTAATTGATGGTTTACTTTTCACTTCTACCAAATTAAACGTTAGGAAATGATGCTAACAATTTAAAACCTAAATTGCATTTTGCATAATCTATGTGTGGCAATTATCGGATTTATTTACACATGTTTAAACATTTATTTACCCGCACATGCAAAGTAGTTAGACAACACACGCGCTTCTGATGGAAGTAATTCAATTTTGTTGCGTTTTTTGTTGACTCATCACTCAAAACCGCGAATTCATCTCATTCCTCTGCATTGCACAGAAATTCAGTACAGCAAATTACGAGTTCCTTTTGAAATGTTATTATTGAGACTTTTTTTTGATAAATTCCTTTCGCACAAAATTGAATTTACGATCTGCAAGAGCATTTTTCTTTTAGCACAATTTTTCCATCTGAATGTTTCACTCACATGTGCGGTTTATGGTTCTGATAGATGGGAATGCTGAGCATATATAGAGAGGAGAAGTCAAACGTTAAAACTGAAAGTCAGAAGATCTGAACGCGTTTGTGTATGAATTTCAACGAAAAGTGCGCTCAAAGAGAAGGAAATCGCTAAAATGTTGGCTGCACATAGAGAGAGAGAGTGAAATTCTTCGGATTTACCTTTTTGCCGACAACTTCACTAAAACATTATTAAATTTCTCACATCATCCTCAAAAGGTGAGTTGAGCTGTCTCTGGTTCTGTTTTTTTTTTCTACTGTGCCAAACGCTCTCTTTCTCTGCCTTGTTCACCTCTTTTGCGGATGCAGTGGCAGAGGTGAAACTCTCGAGGCAATTCACACCACTTCCGGCTTTTCGGTCACTGTTGAGGAGTGAGTTTTAATTATTTTTTGTGTGTGTGTTTTTCTTTGGCCACTTCTGCCCACTTATGAATTATTCACTGTTCGCAACACTGACGCTGACGGAGGGAAAAATCAGGAAAATGACTCTTCAGCTCCGGTCGTCGGGTCCCAGCGGAAGGCTTAATTTCTTGTCCGTCACGTGCAGCATATGCCACTCTAGTCGTGGTGTACACAAGCTGCTGTGGCAGCCTCTTGAGGATCTCCTCGCGCTGTCGCATCCAGCGGGAGCGATGCGAAAGGTACGGAGGACAATACGAGACTGAGACTGAGCATGTGGCACAGTGAATGGTTAGTTGGGTAACACCGACTGAACTGGCATGGGGCGAACGAGAGAGAGAGCATCGAAATCTTAAACGCAGCACTAATGTTGTGCGCACAGAAACCATGTGAGGGGGTGGCGCTGGAGGGCGCCCACCCAGTGAGGCAACAGAAAAAAACACTGCTCAAATCGCTACAGAAAACACATCATTCACAGAAAATTCGTTACTCCAATGCTGCGAGGGAATGGAGAATTCCGCAGAAGAGTCGCCCCCACCCTCCCAACCGGAAAAAAAGGGCCAGCAGAGAGATGAGAGAGAGAGAAAGAGCACAGAAGAAGGCTTCCAAGCATTCACACGATCATTTGTACTGTTCGTTTTTCCACGCCACTCATACGAAAATCACCCTCAAAGCGCGAGATTCATCTTATCTGACAGCCAAAACGCCGTCCATTTCCCACTGGCAATAATTGCCGATGGAAATCTCTTAAATTTATTTTAAAGCACTTTTGCATTTAAATTAAGTTGAACTTCTTTTACCACGAAATGAGAAAAAGAAATCTCTCATCCTGTTATAGTTCCTGAAAAAAAATCATTTAAATAATTATAAACTTGCGAAGTTTGATCTGAAAAAAATATCAATTTTAGGGACAAAATAAGGGTTTTTATTATGTTTTTACATTATCAAAAACGAAATCCTCCAAAATACACTAAAACAATGACTCACTATTAGGAAATTAAACAGTACAGCAATGATTATTCCAAGCTTTTAGATAAATAGAGTGGATAAAACCTAAATTTGCAGCAGATAGAAATATCAACTAATTTTAAATAAACACATTTGTCAATATGTCATTAACAAAACTAATTACAGATTGCTATCATAAAATATTCTCCAATTTTTCAATCAATTCACGTTGAACAGAAATTGCTTTATTGGATGAATATGAAGAAAATACACGATTTCCACTGACAAAGAGGTGTTTTTTCTGTGGTTTTTTAAACTATTATCACCCCATTCGATATACAAAACACAAAATTTATGTGTCTTATCTAAAATTTTAACACTTTTACCGCACTGTCTCCTGTCTACACTTCACACCCACTATTTATTCCCACGATTCCTCCGCGCTGCCCAGAACATTCTGCTGAAGAATATATCATTCGACCGAAACATTTTTTGACCATCCGAGTGTGTGTTGGCTGTAATAAAATCATGGGGAAACAGAGAAAGGAATGCAGTGTGGTGTAACAAGTACCATCACAATGGGGTGTATCGCCAACTTTCATAAACTTGTCGCGCACATCTCGGTGGAAGGGCAAAACGCGCGAGGGAAGCAAAAGTATAAAGTTTTTTGGACGTTGAAGCACTATTTTTGTGACATATATTTTCAAAAAATGAAAAATAGCAGACAAGAGAATGGAGTAATAGTGTCGAGAAGGGGGGGAGAATGAAAAATAAGAATAACCAGCGAATGTAGTTTCAACCGGAAGGAGTTTGAGTGTTGTGAAAAATTGAAAAGCTTTCGCGGCAAATTTTTGGCTTTGGTTTCATATTACGCGTCAACATATGATATACAATTGCTGGAGCATTTTAAATGCTGAGAAGAAATTCAAATACAAAGTATCCTATTGAATCACTTTCATCTCATTACTTATCATCTGTGTAAGTTCTCTTAGTCACACCACTTTTCCCATTTTAGAAAAATCAACATTCTTGACACAATTCCAAACAAATCCGATGTTTTGTTTTACAATTTATTCTTTAATAATGTGCTACAGAATTGCACTAATTCTAGAACAAATTAAATTAACAATGATTGTAATAAAAAAAAACAGTCAAGCTTCGCTATTCTTCTACAAACATATAACATCATCTCTATCATACATATTTATATATAATTAAGCTATATATTTGTTTCTTGTCACATTTTATGGATGTATAAATTATTTTGTACAAAAGAGATTTGGAATAACTTTACACAACGTAGTGTAATTATCGTAAAAGCCAAACTAACACTGTTCTATCAGTTCCGTTGCTTCATACAATTGATTTTCACCCAAAATGTACACATAATATCCATGATAACTGAGATTTTGTATCTAATCTATGATATATATATCAAACATTGAACCACATTTTGCACAAATCATTGGTTAAAAAGGATATTTTGCAATAGTATCATACGCATTCCGAGTGTCCACTCGGGTCACTTGATGGGAAAATGGATACTCCTGTGTTGTGTAAAGGTGGAAAGGAAAATTCTCTGTGTGTGAAAATATCCTGGTGTGATGCACAATGTAAATGGCACTCCTGCACGATGGTGCTTATGTCTCTGAGTAGCGACAGTAGGAGTTGCCCTCGATGGCCGCATTCGGGATCCATTCCTCGTGCAGCGGCTGACGATTCCGCAACACCTCCACCTCCCTCAGCACCCTCACGAAGTTCCCACCGACGAGCTTCTTGATGGCCGCATTGCCCCACAGTCGATCTCTGGCCAGTTCCGCCAGCAGAGGCGGATACGTGCCGGGTGATCCACTCAGACCCACGTGATCCACACCCGCCACCGCCCGCACATAGTTTATCGTGGAAATTGCCTCGCGAACACTCAGCTGCTTCTCCCCGCAGCGCTCCACGTTAATCATCAGCACACCACCATTCTGCGTGAGCATCCCGAGAATGTGGTCAGGAACACCTGCGGTTGAGCTACTGTTGCACAGCGATAGTGGTGCGGCATTGGAGAAAAGGACCGGAGCCCTCGCTGTGTGTAACGCCATCATCATTGCTGGCTCAGACAATCGCGAGATTTCCACAAGAATACCGAGGCGATTCATCTCATGGAGCACAGTCTGCAGTTGGACAGAAAGAGTGGGTGAATTAATATGAAAATTCTGCTTATTGTCTGTGTTAATCCACAGAGAGAGAGAACTACATTGAATCTCCGTTGGGGCACAGATTCATGCAGGAATATCATTTGAAACATTTTTACAGTGGGAAAAACACAGAGTTGCTCACAACTAAGAGCGATTACAGACTTGCTGATGATCCACGGGAGGATAAGCGAGAGCGCGAGTGTGTACGACTGACAGTTCGCTTAGCCAAAAAGCGAATAATCCCTCGATATATCGAAGGTTCAGCCGATTTTCTTGGAGTTCCCGACGGCAGCGCGCTCATGCGAAAATGCGCCGAAACATTGCACGACTCAAGAAAGGCACAAAATGGCGGATCTCTTACGAATGATTTCCTGGATTACTAAAATCATTAAAAATTCTTCTGTGAATCATCAATTTTCGCAATTTTAACGTAAAATTTCACGCTTTTGAAGTATGCAAATCATCTGTCAGCTGAACACATCAAGCACAGTGTCGCTAGTGCCGACAGAGAAGAATGATCTGATTCATATGATCCATATTTTGAGTGTGTAAAGGTGCAGATCAACCACGATTTATCGCTGATCTGACCTTTACACACTACAGGCTCATCCACGGAGGATTGATCCGAGTTCGCGCCGATTCGAGGATAAGCGACAAGTCTGTAATCGCTCTAAGACTTGCTTCGTTTGTCAAAACAGCAAAAATGGAGTGATTAGAGAGAGCTTTTAGTTTGAATTATATGGATTATTAACATAGAATTGCTGATATATCCATCAAACTGACTAACAATGAGCTTTGCTTCTGGCACTTCTGCATGATTTCCACTTCAACTAATCACCTAATCAAAGACAAGCCCAATTCAATGGAGAGAGAGAGTGCAATGATTTTCCTATGCACACAAATCAGAATTAAGCAGATCACAGGGCCAATTCAAGGAAGTTATGTTCAAATAAGAAATCCTCATGGAAAGCTAGAACAAGTGCCTCATTATGCGCCAGTTTCAGCTCTGAGCCCACTGGGAATCTCTCTCTCACACACACTTATCTGTGGGCCCCCGGAATGGTGAGAACCACAAGAGATTTAATGAATTAGTCAGTTGAGGTCACCAAATGTAAGGAGCGCAGCGTGTTGGAGGGCACAACGAAGGGATGTGATAACTAATATAGTGTACGTTAGTTAAAATAGCTTGGCTACACAGGAAAATGTTTGTGTGGAGAGAGAATATGAGCCAGGTGTGAATTTATATGCAAATTGCATTTAACTTTCCTAATATCTAAAAGCTCACATATATATATACGTAAAATTTAATTTCCACTCATTCAATGAATTTATAAATTCAACCCCCAAAAGTCTAAATTGGATGTGAGACGTAACAACATGTATAAACCACTGGAATTTTATATATATATATAAATTATCCCCATTATTATTATTCCAACCAATGTATATATATAAAACATTTATATCTTTATCAAAATATTTAATTAGGTAGGTATGCATTTCGATATGCATGGGGATTAAGAGAATGCATGTGCATTTATTATTTAGGAGTTATTTTCCACATTCGCAACCACAACCCAAAATGCATACATTTATAAGAAAAATGTGTGTATATATAGTGGATAATATCCTGTTGTAGGAAAGATTTTAATTCACATTAATAAATTTCTCTCATTTTAAATGCAATTTCATCTACCGAAAATTTACCAATTAAAAGTTTCCCATTGCAATATATATATATAGCTAAAGCGACATTTTCTACTGTTTCTCCACGGCATGATGATATTTTGCATCCCCTTTTGTGTGATGAGTATCTTTTGCAGTACAAAATGCGCTTTCATGTCGCTTCCCTTTCAACTTTTCTTTCAATTCCAACACTAACAGATGTACTTTCCGTGAAAATGCCGAAAATACTCTCTTCATGCATTTTCCCCTGTGCTTTTCATTCTCAATTACCAAGTACAAAATATAAATACCATAAATATCTCGCAATGCAACATAGTACATTAGTTTTGGTGGGTAATATAATTTTCACGAAAAGCTCACAAAAGCATAAATGTAAGTGTTTTTTATTTTCTCACAACATTTCACCAAATAATATCATCATTGAAGTATAACTGTATTAAAGCAATAAACCGGGGTAAACATCTTAACATAATCCGTTCATATGAATTCACTGAATATTTAATGATCCTAATTTATTCAGTATCCTTATTGTAGCTACGAAAAAAAGGAAGATTTCCTCAAAAATACCCTCGCTAAAGCCTCACTCTCTCTCTCAGTGTAGAAATTTCGTAAGAAAAAAAATTGACCAAGAATAACAGAGAGTATAAATTCTTTTAAATGAATGCAACAATCCCAAATCCTTCATGGAATATTATATTTATCCCCTCAACAAACAGAAAACTGTGAGACAATTTTATTAAAATATGTTGTTTGATATTTAGAAAGGCGTTTTTTTCTTTCCCTCCTCCCGTAAACAATATTAAGTATGATAAAACTGCTATTCTATCTGTGCGGGGTAGCGAATAGGGTTGAGAACGCGAGGGCGCGGGTGTGGGTGAAAAATACACGAAGAATACAAAATACCCTCGCATACACCATACCTTTCATCGCAGGTCCACCATTCGCCACTTCATGCCAGTTTATACTATCTTAATCCCAACCATATTCATGAATATGCATTTTATCTCCGGCAAAAAGGTGAACAAGAGAGATGGGTGTGTGTGTGTTCGAGAGTGAGGCAAGTTTTGGACTTTTCTGTGTACATAAATTTATGCTGTGAGAGGAAATTTCCAGTTTTCTGCACAATGTGTATACCTATAAGGTGACGGGGGGGGGGAAGTTGAGGATGCTTCTTATATAAAATATTTTTTCCTGAATTTTATCACTTTGCAACTTTTATATATGAATCAATAGTTTGAGCGCGTGTAAAAATCACCCTCATGCTTCACAGAATTTAACACCTTTTCCACCCCCCTCCCTTGTGATGAACAAGTCAATATCCCACCCCTATTACTCGCTCTTTATGCACTTTTGCGACAGCAAGAAATATCGCTTGCAACTTACAGAGTAGCTCAGGTGTATTTGCAGTGTTACAAATTAGGCGTCGTTGCAACATTATATTTTCATAACATTTTAAATAAGCTGTCAAAAATATGAATGCGTAAAAAGGTGTTGCAAGATTAGACTTCATAACATTTACGCAAGTGCGGAATTTATCTTCTGTGAGACCGGAAAATTTACGTGAAAACCAATGGAACACACAATAATGATTTCTTTATGTAGATAAACACATATTTATTGAATTTTTCTAGCAATTAGTGCGCATTTAAATGTACAAGATTGAGGTTATGTGTTTCTGGACACTCTTCAACATCTAAGATATTTTCCCAGACATTCTGGTCAGCAGAATCCTGAAAGAATCTCATCGGAAACACGTTCACACGGGCTAATCTTGCACTATTCATCATCTGAAATTCGTATTAAATAAACCCGGACTTTGCCTTGCAACGCCTTCTCGTTCGTATTACATCTGTACTTTTTTTAAGTTATGAAAATGTAAATTTGTTACACCAAAATGGTGGCTTTTAGGAACTGAAATACGACATCTGTAATGTTGCAACGACCCAATATAATTACAGTTTTTTTAGTTAATTCCTGTAAATTGTTAAAAAAAAACACACATTTGTGAGCTTTTACATATTTTAACTCAATATTCTTTCATTGCTCATTTTATTTAACACATAAAACTAAAAGAAAATTGTCCGCTGAATTTTTTGTCTCAAAGTATCAATAGTATTGTTAAAAAATAAACTATAATTTAATCTTTTTATTTGCTCGAATGACCGACAAGAAAAGTGTTAGAGAAAGAAATATTTTTGGCTCTGAATAAACTTTTGTCACAGGAAAAAGTCTCTATATAAGTTATGTCTTTTTCCAAAAACTTTTCGTAACGAAGCAACTGCGGAAAAACTCCATTCTCAACTTATTTTTCAACCAAACACATTTTTCCGAAGAGAGAGAGAGAGAGAGAGAGAGAGGGAGAGAGAGTGAGAAAAGGAAATCCTGATCCAATAGTGAGATGTCAATAGGTCAACAATAGCGCGATGTGACTGAAATTAGTCACAATATATTCACAAATCATATTTTCATTTGGGAAATTTGATGGCCAGAAATTCAGCCAACTCATTCAGAAATGCTATAAATCCTGTGCAGAATAATACACTAAATCATTTCACGTTCGAGTAATTTTATTAGGCACTTAATTGCCAAACGCTATTTTATCATAAGAACGCATGCTTTGACCTGAAAGTGTAGCAAGAAATCAACAAAGAAATAAGATGTTCCATTAATTCCCTCATTCTCTGAACGCGCGCACAACACACACATTTTTATTTGGAAAGTTAGAACGGATGTTTCTCATTGCTATAAACTTTGCAAAATATTTATCTCCCGCTCAGGATGCATTCGGTGTGTGTGTGTGGAAAAAGGAGAACTTTATATATGTGAAGACAAGGTAGACTGAGAGAAGCTGTAACACACGTCGTGAAATTAAATATTTATAGTAATTCGACATTATTGAATTTCCTCATAAAATCTTCATTTTCTTCCCACCCCCCCAACAAAACTTTCTCATTGTAAAACACCCCAAATGCTCACCCTTCGCGCTTTCATCTCTACTTCATTAAAACTTATGTAAAATGCTCGCTTAAAAATTAAATGATGATAATAATGTTGTTAACAGCTGTAAAACTTTTTCTTACCAACTCTACTCGTGGAAAGCAAGAAGAAAAATAAGAGAATATGACGTGCTACTTCTTGTGGAAAATCGTGCGTTTATTAACCCAAGCATTCTGTGATTCACATTTTTCCCCCTCTTCACTCCACCCCATACATTTCACCCCATGTGTACTTTTCAGTTAAATCCCAATTCCGTTGTTCCGCGAGAGACTTTCATTCAATGTTTTAATCCTTAATTACTGCAAGTTTTACCCTTTCTCTCACTCTCTCTCTCAAACTCTTTAAGACACTCTCTAGAGACATGATTTTCCCCCAAAACGCCATATAAACGAAGTTCGAGAAGTCTCCTAATTGTTGTGTATTTCCTTCAGCTCTTCATGAAATTGCAACTTGCAGTTTATTTGATCCACACAATCGTTTTCTTACATCTTCACACGATAAGACATAAATGATTGCGCTTTGGCACTCTTTAAAGGATTTCACGAGGAGATTTCTGTGCTTCACACTTGCAAATTCACTGAAGTACTAAAATCACTACATAAAATAACACAGAATATTCTGATTACACAAAAATTCCATCATTAAACAATATCGAAGGGTGAATTGAAAAGTATTAAAAGTCAAAATCAGCATTTATCAGCAGAACAAGAGCAAAATTTAGCGTTAATATCGCTGCGAAATTAATCAAATTTAGCTGAAAACCCTCAAAATACCTTCAAAACGACCTGTAATAATTATTTTGTGAATATTTCAGTAGATTTTGTTAGTATTTATTGAAATTTTTGAGTGAAATATGACAAAGTTAATAGAAAAACTGAAAATATTACTTTCCAAAGTCGATTTTTAATAGTCTTTGAGTAAATTCTATCCAAATAAGTCCTAAAAATCAACTTTTCATTACTTTATATGTAAGTTTTTCGAAGTCTAAGAACATTTTAGAGGAATCCTCAATATTTAGAGGCTGTTTTAAACGAATAAAATACCCCAAAAGAAGTTAAAGATGTCCCTTAAGACACAAATCTCAAAAAATATAAGAAAAAACCTATGATAAATCGCGACTTTTCATAGTTTTCGATTCACCCGTCGAAATGCGCATCGTAGAATGCGAGTTTATAATACAAAAGAGCTTTATCAATAGAGAATGGCATGAATAGTGCAATAATTTTATATTTAGTCACCCATAATTACACTATGATGAATGCAAATAATTAAATGTGAATTTTTACTCACATGATAACCAATAAAATTCTCGCTTTATGCAGCAAAATTTACTCTAATTTCACACTGAATTATCCCATAATTTTCATATTGGTCGCCTCAATAAATGGTCCTCTATATTCATTTGCATGGGTGGTTTGGTGTATTTCCGGCATTTAACTTTTATATGCACGAGCATTTGATTCTGGCGCTAAACTGAATTGATAAATAAAAGTGACGCATTTCTCCCCGTGAGACTTAAACCAGAATAAAGTGGCATAGAAAAGATTTCTTCCTCAATTCTTCTCTTACCTCTATTAATGCAGGAAATTCTCTATGCAAGACATTGCAAAGTTCCCGTGAGACTTTTAAGTTTCTCACCCACAGAAAGTTAAACATTTTCAAAATCTCCTATGGATTAAGGGCAATGGAAATGCAAAGTTTTTCCTATATTACAATCTTACTTAACAATTTTGCCGAATAGAATTTAGTAAGTATTTCTTGTGGAGCGTAAAAACAGCAATTAGACAATATAATTGTCTCATCTTGGGAAAGAAGATGAAGAGGAAGTTTTCCATATTTGCTGAATTTCACCCAAAGTTCTATTTTACTGCTCTAAATGGTCTCTAAAACTCAATAGAATTATTTAAGCTTTCTCTCTTGCCCAATAACTGAAGTAAACACAAATTTCCAAATTGACAATAATAAATAAATTGTTTGCTGAAACTTCTCTCTCTCTCTCTCTCTCTTCATTCCTTAAGTTTCTTCGATAAATAATTACATTCAGTTTCTCTGATGCAGTATTTTCCAGAATCTCTGCAAGTATTATAATTATGTTTAGCTAGAGAACACTTTCTGCGACAAACAAACAGCAACAGAAGAACACACAGATGGGAAAGTTGTATGATTTTAAGAGCATCATTATAAGAGGATTTCATTAATATTCGCCATTTATCATTGCTTCGATTGCTTCTCAATTTCCAATGCCTTTCTGGAAACTCAGTGAAAAATGAGGAGGAAATTGCAGACTCACCTCGCCGAAGGTAGTCAAGCTGTGCGGCTGCGAATCGTCCAGGACGATCATGTCGCTCTTGATGGTGGCCGCCGCCCAGGGTGTGGTGCAGCCCAGACCCGTGATGGAGATGACTCTCACGCCCAGGGAGTGCATGGAGCGCAGCACAGCCAGACTGGAGCCGAGCGCGTGACCCGCCTGGAGACCCAGAAGCACGCCAATCTTCCCCTCGGCGTGCGTCTCTTCAATCTCATCCGCCAGCTCGATGACTTTCAGCATGGGATTGGTGCGCACCAGTCGCTTGGCCTCGTCGATGCCCTCGAGCGCCAGCTGCACGCCGTCCAGATACTGGGCGCCACAGGGAACAGCCACAGGCCAGACCAGAGCGCCCACCATGTTCTGCGTGATGTCCGCGACGCTGCTGGTGAAGTTGCCGCCGAGCTGTGGCCGCCAGTGTCCCTCCACGAGGGGCGGATTCTCAGACAGCAGACGCCTGATGAAGGCCAGTCGCGCCTCCAGCAGCGAAGAACTCCGCAATTGCAGCGCAATGGGAATCCCAATGGCGAGAGCGATGAAGACAAACAACCCACCAAACACAGCCACCACCTTGCGACTCTTCCCACGGTGCACCACCGGCGGGGGCGACGAGTGCTCCTTCTTGTACGTGGGCACATTGCCGTTCTTGATCTTCTCGGAGAACTTTGTGATTTCCGGTGGAAGATCGATGTCCGTGTAGACAAAGCACTGCTGCTTGCACGGCACCTGGTGCATCGTGCGCAACTCCATGAATTCGTGATTTGGCACAACCGAATTCATCTCTCTACCACACTGTTTGATCCCTGAACCAGCCAGGAAGAGCGGAGGAAAATGCGAAGGAAATGGAAGAACTTTGTGTGTTTCCAGGAGCTAAAGTGACTGTAGACCACTTCTCCTTTCCCGTATCGATTTTTTGAATCGCTTTCGTCAAGTTTCCTGCCACTCAACGAAAGACTGGAAAACTCCCCGGAAAGTGTGGTTATGTTGATTGTTTTGATTTCTGGACTTGTAGATTTCTTGTCTTGTGGCATAAAATATTGTGAAAATTCTGGGGAAATATGTCTCTTGGAGGTTCATCAAAGCGAGAATATCACAAAATGGACTATTCTCTGCGTGTACGAGACACTCTGCAGAGGATTGGTGAGTGGAAAAGCCACACAATCCTGGAAAATATCTCATTGTTGTCACTCTTGCAGAAACAATGATCAACACCCGGACGAAGCAGGAGCACATGATGGAGTTGATAGCTGAGATTTTCTGCGAGAAGCCACGAGATCTTGACGTGCGGAAGTCTCAGAATCAACTACTTCCTGCCACACTGTCGCTGATCCAGGAACTCCAGCTCGTTGTGGTTCTCTGCGAATACTTCCAGACTCCCGGATCTGAGGCCACGCGAAATGCCATGTTTCTCTCACTCTTCGCCAGTCCCACGTCCATCACGCGCATCAATGTGCTCGTGAAGCTGGTCAGCACGTCCGTCTCTGCCCTCATTGCGCCCCTCTTGTGCGCCGCCGGCACGTGGATGCAGCAATTGGGCTGCACATCGCAATCCAGTCTCGATCTGGCACAGAATCTCGTCACGGATTTCATTGTGTTCGCCCAGAAGGCGTCAGAGCAACTCAAGTACCTTCCCCAAGTGGCTCCCCGCTTCACGGCGAACATAATCACGGCCGTGGCGGAGCTGTACCTCAACGATATGCACGACAGCGCTGCCGTGCCGCCGAAAATCCTGCTGGAAACCTTCACGGAGTGGGTCTCCAGCAGCCCAGAGCTCTGTCTGTCCTCACAGAAGCCGCTGGTGTTGCCCTCGGGCGCCATCGCGATGCCCGTGCTCACGCCCTTGGCTGGGCTTATTCGCTGGTGCGTGATGGCGCCCCTGCTGGATCCGGGGAAGTCCTACAGTCGGCTCCATCTGGCCATCATTCAGTCCATGCAGCAGACGCCGTCGCACACAGGCCCACCCACCGTCATCAACGCCCAGCATCTCTGCCTCATCGTGGCCACGCTCGAGGGGAAGTGCGTGCAGATCAGGAGGCCAGAGAACAAGTCCAAGGACACCGAGGAACGCTTCCAGCTGTGCCTGGAGCGATTCGCCCAAGCCGTTCAAGTGGCTCTGAGCTCGCACTGCGTCTACGGCAGCATTCCGCAGCTCCTGTGCCGCCTGGAGGCTCTGCCCCCGTGCACTCTCATGCAGATGGTCATCAAGAGCAACAGACACACGTGATAAGGCCGTTCGTGGAGCGAACGAACACTGAATTGGCGCCCTTTTTGGGGGGTTCTTGGCAAACTCAACCATGATAGAGAATAAAGCGAGGCAGTATTGTGACTTATTGCGTTTCCATAAGCGCGCATGACGCTTTATCGCAGCTCATCGAGCATACAACCCAGCGCGTTGACCTTGCATTGGACACGTCAGAATTTCAGAATTGTCACTTTGTGTTTTGGTGATGAAAAACTGGAAGTTTGTGGTGCAAAGTGCCGAATCATTTTGTGAATAAATCATTGGAAGATAATTTCCTGCATCTTAAGTAGTAAAATCTCTTTTCTTGCGTAGAACAGAAGCAGAATCCGAAGCAACGATGGACTTCTCAGGCTGGTTCAACTCCGTGCCAATATTTACACGATACTGGCTCTCGTCCACCGTGATCATGAGCCTGGTGGAGAGAATAGGACTCCTTCCGGGCGAGTACCTGATCCTCCTGCCATTCAAATTCGTCTACACGAAGTTTCAGGTGAGAAATTGCCGAAATTGCGCTCATCTTCATGGTGTGTTTGGTGGTTATGATTGATGTGATTTTTTCCGGGCAGATCTGGAGACCTCTCACGTCAGTCCTGTTCTACCCGCTGACGCCCCAGACGGGATTCCACTTCATGCTCAACTGCTACTTCCTGTACAACTACTCAGTTCGCCTGGAGCGCGAGCAGTTCAAGAACACACCGGCAGACCACCTGTTCATGCTGATCTTCAACTGGGCGAACTGTGTCATCCTGGGCGTCTGCTTCAACGTACCTCTCCTCATGGATCCCATGGTCATGTCAGTGCTCTACGTCTGGTGCAAACTCAACGCGGACACCATCGTGAACTTCTGGTTCGGCACGCAATTCAAGGCGGCCTATCTTCCCTGGGTTCTGCTGGGCGTGAACTTGCTGCTCTCCTCCTCAATCACGTACTCCCTGATCGGCATTGTCGTGGGACATCTCTACTACTCCCTCAAGTTCCTCTATCCCACGCTCAGAAACACGCCCAGTTTGCTGGAAACGCCGCAGATCCTCAAGAACTACTTTCCCGACGTCACCGGCGGTGTGTACGCCTTTGGCGGCGCTCGGCTCAACAACCAGCCAAGACCCGCCGGCGGGAGATTCAGCAATTGGGGCTCAGGACATCGTCTGGGAAACAACTAATCAGGATTTGTGAACAAAATTGTATTGAGTGAACAAAAAAGGGCCACTAAAATGGTCTAAAACGACGAGATGACTTCATCTTCTCCACTTTCTGCTTGTCCTCCTGGAACTTCTTCCGCATCTCCACTATCCGCTGCTTCTTGGACTCCGTGACTTGGAATCTGTAGAAGTTCTTCAGCTCCTTTCGCTTCTTCTTCGCCTCCTGCTGCTCTGTCACGTTCTGAATACTCTTCTCGGTGAGTTTGAAAGCATCTCTGCTGGACTTTCGTGACACCTGCACCCATCCTTCGTCATCGGCTGTCTGATTTCTCGCCACCTGCTCAGCAGCACGCTTTTCCTGGTCAAATTTCGCCATGAAACTCTCGATTTCACTCTGCATTTCTTCACTACTCGGATATTGTGCTTTGTAGTTTGAAATCCATCTCTGGACACCCAGGAGAACATTCTCCGCGATGAGTTTCTTCGCCTGGAGAACTTTGTCCACACTGGTGGTTGTCTTGAAGGCCATAAAGGCGATCTTCCAGCGGAAATCCTGAGAATTCTTGTGATCATCCGGAGATTTTGTAAAAGCCTGAAAGTCCTTTATGCTAGTGAAAATTGCCACTTTTTCCACATTTCCAAACTTGGAAAACAATCCTTTGAGATTGTCCTCTGTTATGTATGCCGGGATGTTCACTAAACAGATGGTTTTCTCTCCTGGCCATTCAGGATGTCTCAGAGAATGAGGAATCACGAATATCTCGTGAAAATGACTTTTATCAGCACCAATGTAGAGTTTTATGCCTGTAATTCGATAAAGGAACTCTTTAGGTAATAAGTAAGGGGGAAATTGACAGAATGTACACACTATTTTCCACGGAAATGCTCATTTTCCTGCTCAGAAATGTTTTTGTTTACTAAAACAACGCGTGTTCGATTGGTGTTTGAGGTTAGAACGGCGTGACTTTAGAGCTGTCAAAAAGTTTGTTTTGGTTTCCGGGAAAGCTTGTTTAGAGCGTTTTCCTGTTGATTTTCCTTGATTTCTCGAGATTTCTTGTAGTAAAATGTGCACACCTACTTTTCAAACCTACAGAGAACAGCTTACAGTAAGAAAATGCTGGAGAAATGGGAGATTTCCGTGAAATATTGAAGTTTTCTCTTTGCCTCACAGGACATTCTCAGGGAATCCTTCAAGGAGCGAAAATTCGCAAAGTTAGAGGCGGATTTCAAGCATCTCGGTGGCGCACACACTGATAAGAAGTCCAGTTTAGACCAGGTGTTCAGAGATGTGCTGCTGACGGACCACGTCGGAGATGTGAAGGCGGTGGAAGACTTCATAACGCTGTCCGCGAACGCTGCCCGGAATGACTTGGTGTCCGTCACCATTCCAGTGATCCTCCTGGGCGATGTGTTCGATGCTGTGACACTGGATCAGTGCGAGCAGCTCTTCACGTATGTGGAGAACAATGTGGCCGTGTGGAAGGAGGAGGTTTTCTTCACGCCCTGCAAGAATAACATCCTGCGGATGTGCAATGACTTGCTCAGGAGGCTTTCCAGATCTCAGAACACTGTGTTTTGCGGAAGAATTCTCCTCTTCCTGGCCAAATTCTTCCCCTTCTCCGAGAGATCAGGACTGAACATTGTCTCTGAGTTCAATTTGGAGAATCTCACGGAATACAGCACAGATGGGAAGAATGAGAATCTCGCCGGAGATTCAGTGGAAACTCAGCTGCAGATTGATTACAATTTGTACTGCAAATTCTGGGCGTTGCAGGACTTCTTCAGGAATCCAAATCAATGCTACAACAAAGTTCAGTGGAAGACTTTCGTGAGCGTGAGTTTTTCGCGTGTTTCATTCTAAAGTGGTGCATTTTCTCACTGTAAAATCTCTTCCTTCTTCTTCTGCAGCACACGTCCAGCGTCCTGGCGGCATTTAGGGGATTCAAGCTTGAGGAGCCGAGAGAGGGAAGCAGTCGAGAGAAGAGCGAAGCAATGGATGTGGATGAATTGGACGAGAAGAATCTTCTCGATCCTGACAAGGGAGCACAGCACTTCTTTGCCAAATTCCTCACGAATCCCAAACTCCTGGCACTTCAGCTCTCAGATTCCAACTTCCGACGCTCCGTTCTCGTGCAGTTTCTCATCATCTTCCACTATTTGCCGTCTCAGGTGAAGTTCAAGATGGACATGTACACGCTGGCTCAGGCGCAGGTGGACTGGATCAAGGAGACGGAGGCTCAGGTGTATCGTCTGCTGGATGAGACGCCGCCGAATGGCACGAAGTTCTCCAAGAGTGTGCAGCACATGCTTCAGCGCGAGGAGATGTGGAACAACTGGAAGAATGAGGGTTGCAAGGAGTTTCAGCGTCCAGATCCGCATCCCAGTGACACGGGAAAGGCGCCCTCGCCGCAGAGGAAGTACAAGAGACTCCTTGGTGACTCCATCAAGGAGGCCACAAAGCATGGGAAGTTCTACATGGGCAATCCAGAGCTGACGAAGCTCTGGAATCTCTGTCCGGACAATCTCCAAGCGTGCAAGGGATCGGACAGGAACTTCCTGCCATCGCTGGAGTCTTATCTGGAGAATCCGAAGGACAAGAATGATCCGTCATACGAGTGGCGAGCTTTGAGGCTCATGGCGAGACAGTCGCCGCACTTCTTCACGCTCTTCAACACGCCATCGTACAAAGTCAGTGACTATCTGGAGAGTGTGCGCAAGAAGATCCAGAAGGATCGCTCTGAGGCGAAGCAGGAGCCCATGGAGGAGGTTCTGCCGGTGGTGGAGCAAATGGAGGCGGATAATGACAATTTTGCTGATGAGCAGGAGCAAATTGAGGCGGATTTGCTGAAGACGGAACAACTGACGCCGGAGGACAAGAACAACCACAAGCCGAACATGATCACGGCGGAGCAGCTGCAAGAGTTGGCGCCCATCATTGGGGCGGATTGGAAGAAGTTGGCCAACAAGCTCGGCTATCGACCCGACGAGATACTCTTCTTCGAGACGGAAAATCCCACTGCGTCCGCACAGTGTCACGCGATGCTGCAGATCTGGTTCGATGACGACATGGACGCCAGTCTGGACAATTTGGCGTACATCCTCGAGGGATTGGGCATGCTGGAGTCCTGCGACACGGTGAAGAAATTCATTGGCAACGTTGATTAAAGGTGAAAAAACATTTTTCTTTATTAGGATATTTCGGGGCTCTTTTATCACTTGTAGAGAAAGAGATTTTTTTTTCGTCTTCTTTCCAAAATTAAAAAAACTGCCAAAAGAGACACACATAAGATTTTTTTTGCATATGGGATTAAGGCATGGCGCTGGAGTTAAATGGTGTGAATGAGTATTTGTCAGACAGCCGGAGTTAGTAGCGCTTCTTGGGCGGCTGCGGCTTGGGCTTGTTGTGCAGCATCGTGGCGCACTTGGGGATGTGACGCGTGGCGGCCGCCTCGTTGAAGCGCCGCATGCAGTGCGGACACTGAATGTAGTCCGGATTCTCTGATCGCGGCGGTGGTGGCAAGTCAGAGAGCTTGCCGCCCTTGGCCAGGTGCGCCTGCATCTGTTTCGCCGCACGAATTGCCTCGATGAACTCCTCGTGTTTCCGCCGCCAGTTGTTCTTCTTGCCCGCCGAGCCGCCGCTGCTGCTGGCCGCGGGCTGCGCCTTGGGAGGAGCCGCGGCGACAGTTCGGGCACCTCGAGGACCTCTCTTCAACACAAACGTCTCAGCATCGGTGCCCTGGAAGAAAGACACCTTGTAATCATTCTGAAGATTGTGCTGAATTCTTTGTCAACACTTTACCTGAACGCGATGCTTCGTGGAGTCAAAGATTTTCCTCTTCTTACTCGTAATCTTGGCACAAATTGCAATGTGTTTCTGAATGCGATCCTCAGCGAAGTAGCGACCGCAGATATTGCACTCAGACATTCCATCTGGAGGTGGACCACTCTGCAAATTGATGACAAAGAAAGAGATAAATTAAGTGTGTGCTTAATTAAATTTCCACATAATGCGAGCAGAGACTGTTTTTCTTCGATTTGTCGCCATTGAAACGATTGAAACACTTGCAAACACAGCTTGCTGAGAATTACAAACTGTAGAAAAATCTCACCTTGGCTACTTTTGCCGGAGATTGCTTCTTAGCAGGCGCTGCAGCATCAGCTTTTGGTGGCACTTTGTGTGTTCCATTGATGCCATCGTTGCTCTTGTTGGTCAATTTGGATAAATTCGTTAGATTCCTAGTGGCATTCACGTGTCCGGCCGTCTGTCCGCTATCACTTGCCACATTGGCGGCCTTCTTCACGATCACAGGTCTCAATTTCACCGGATTGCTGCTCACTCCTGTGCCATTCTTCGCGGGCGCGGCATTGTTGTTGCTGATGCTGAGCGATGCCAGGCGGCCCACGTTGGACAACTTGCCGCCGTAGTTGTTATTGGCCGTTGACCAACTGTCCAGGCCATTGTCGGTGTCGCCGCGCGATGTGGAGAATGTCTTGGTTGGCGTCTTGCTGGTCGCCTTGGGGCTCTGCTTCATCTGAATCGGCTGCAGTGGGTAGCTCTTATCAATTCCGATGCTCCGCTGGCGCCGCTCCTCGAACAATTGCCTCACCTTTTTCGCACAGCAAAAAAATTGAGTAATTTATTAACGCATTTCCGGGCTAAATAAATGTGGGCTTTTAATTGCTGTTACAACAGCCATTTGGGATAATTTACACCTGAATTATTGGCATTGAACTTTGTTGAAAATTCACAATATGAGGCCTTTTGCGCAATTTTTTTTCACCTCAAGAGCTTCACCATGGATGAGTGAATTTGCTGGGCAATTGAGTGCGTTTTTGTGCCATTTTTGAAAGTGTGTAGATGTCATAACAATTTTTCATTGCAATAAAAAGAAAGCTAGACGACAAATTGATTAAAAGCACAGCTTGAGGATTATTCCACAAAATGTTTAGTATTATTCGACCCGATCATGAAATATTCATGCTCTTCACATTCTCTTATACCTATATCTATGTATTATTCCTCGAGAGACGAGCCAATGTGTAAAGTATCTTGTGAATTTGTAGAGATTTCCAAGAAGGACACCTAATCAAAGATTTACATTTAGACCATTATCAGTGGAAATTGCAAATTGATGGAGATTCAGTAACAATCTTAATGCACGCCCCAGAGAGAGATGTAATCACACTTGAAATGCTCATCTTTTGGAGCCTTCAATTGCCCCAATACGAATATACACATTCATAATGCTCTGTCTCTGCCAATTCAAATTCCCAGCGAATGTTTATTGTCTCAGCGTGAGTGCGGAAAATCAATTGCGGAGTGCCATTGAGCTCCCCTTTTTTTCCCCTGGCATTTTTCTCGGGTGAAAGAAGAAGAAGAAAAAAATTTCCATTACGATTCCGCTTTTTCTGGGTCTATTTTTAGCGTTTTGTCACTTGACATAGAACCATCAAAACCGTCAACTTGAACTATTGAACGGTCGTTTGACCAGAATTGACATTGATCCACATTAATATTTCGGAGGGCGGGTGGAAAGGAGAAGGCCAAAGGGAAAGTCACTAACCGTTCTTGGAGGAATCTTACAATAGACTCAAATAAATATATGATTTTTACTCAAAATTCGAGGAAATGCAATAAAAAAAATCATTATTTTCAAGGTAAATTGCAAGGAAACACAGAAAATTTGTTATATTTGATTTTTTTCTCCACAAATTGCAGCATTTCTTGGCTGATTTTCTCACATTTTATTACTCTTTAAGATGTTTAACTTTTTAATATAATCAAAAAAAAATTTTATATGTTGAAAATACTGCAAATATCTTTATTAGTTATTTAATAGATTATTCAGAGGTGTTTAAACCCCCCTAATTTAGCTCATTCTTAAGATTGTGGTAAAGATTTGTTTGGGAAATACAATTAGAACTTTTGCGTGTCTTTAAACTGCTGCCCTCTAGTGGCAATTTGTGGAGAAAATAATTAAAATTCAATAAAAATCACAAAAAGTCCAAAATTGATTGAATAATCGCAAAATCTCGAGTGATTTTCCCCTTGAAGGAGGCGCTTTTCAAGGCTTTCCACCGCCCCGCATAGTTACCTTTCCAGGCGTGCAACTTGTGTCCATTTCCAATCCACTGGAGCCATTGTTGTTAATGCTATTGTTATTGATTATGGATGGTGCACTGCTCATTTCCAATTTACGCTGAATCCTCTCTTGCTGCTGCCTCTGCTGGAATCGCATCTATATGTGGGGAAAATATATAACAGAATAATTGAAAATCACTCTTTGCTCGTCGATTTTAGCGCACACAGAGTCTCTAAATTCGCCAGCAAATCACTGGCCTAAGTGTAATTTTCCACTGAATGTTCACGTCAAATGGAAATATTTACAAAATAATCCAAATACATCCTCCAAATGTGCTCAACCACTCGAAGGAACTCCACACAGTTCTGATGTGAGTTGACGAGTGAAGCTCTTGCTGTTCGTGATTGTTTACAGACATTTTTCCGCTTAATTTTCCTAGGTATTCAACTGATCGACGATTTAGAGTTGCTGATGTGTGTAATTTTTCAAAGGGTGGAAAATTTATTGCTCTTCAAACTTTCCTTCGTGAAATATTTCAGTGAAACTTTCCAAATTTCCCCATCGATTGGATAAAGCCAATATTAGTTTCATAAAGTGTTTTTCATTGAGAATTTTCTCACACTTATTAAACTTTTAACATGTAGGAGGTGTTCGTGACGTCAGTAAAAGTCATGTTTTTCTCCTCTCACGGCATTTTCCATCAAACCACGTGGAAAACCATCATGAGAGTGAAAAGAGAGACGCAAAAACTGAGCATGGAAAATAAGGGATTTTCATCCGCAACGCCTCAAAACTTTTGCTCGCAAAACATCACAAGAAGAAGAACGAATGAACGAGAGGAAAAAAAAGTGACTGCGAATGAGAGGCAGTGAAATTTGAATTTTCATTCCGTGACATCTCTGAGTCATTGACGCAAGACCTTTTTTGGACATTACCAATGAGTCATGTCATGATTAAATGCTGCCCACGTTTCTCTCTTGTAGTAATTTTTTCGCTCATTTTGATCATTTCTATTTCATTTCTCACTGTTTTTATATGTCCACACGCCAATATTAACAGCGATAAAGTGGTCAAGATACATGGCAAGAGAGAGAGTGAGACATCCACTAAATGTTTCTGTTTTTCTTGCAATTCAATTAATAAATGTAGTTTATTCCCCGGCCGATTAATATCACGACACACAACCAAGGCTTTAAATGGGCGAAAGAGAGTAATTTAGCAATGAATTTATTCTCTATGGCTATCTCACGCTTTATATCTGTCTCACCCATTTCGTAGGAAACACACAGAACATTGTAGAATAATGATTACATGTCAGTGTTCTGTACAACATGCAAAAGAATGTATTGATTGATGAATTACTCGATGGAAATTACATTGAGAGACACAAAAATATTGATAGAAATGCCATCGTGACAGCAAATATGAGTTGGAACTGCGTCATGTTGGAGAGTGTTTTGAGTTAATTTTATTATAATAAAATTTGCCTGAGATGCTTTTTTTCTGTGTGCTGACTGTCTCTGCCTCTGTAAGCTGTCTAAACCACGCATTCTGCAAACAGTGGAGGCGACTGGTGCAAAACGACATGCAAATAACATTTGTTGACCGCAACAAAGTGTCTTTGCTGGGGTCTTTTTGCAATAAATGCGGCATTTAAGACATCCCAGAATCTTGACAAATGCGCAATTCAGCTATTTCGTTGCTGCTTTAAAATTCAATTAGCTATTATTGATAAATAAGAGAAGAGAGCGCTTCTGTTTCGACATGATATAATTTATTTAAAAGAAAAAAAAAGTAGTTTAACATTCAACACAGCGCGCATTAATTATAGAATAACCCAATGATTGCGCCTCTTTTTCGCGTGCTAACACAACACCAACATATTTGTCTGTCCTGAGAGTGAGATTACTGAACCCAATGAACTCATACGAACCACCCAAGACTCCAAGATAGCTTTAATGAGGAGTGGATTAGCCACTAAATTTCGATGGCGAGATTACTGAAAGCCCACCTTGTGCGAAAATGGATAAAATTCAACACCGATCAGCAAGCTTGATCGCCAGAGACCTCGTCGAATCTCAAAACCTACACAATAGTCTTATTAAAAAGATATTTTTTTACAGCTGAAGATAATTTATAGACATGTCCAGAGAGTCACCATATTTTTCTTCCCCTTCAAATTCTCTTATTTTGAGCGGTTTTTTGGGCGATTCTCTTTCCGCACTTAAAGCACGCGCTTGATGTGAATAAAGCAAGAAAGTCATCATATGTAATCCCACCTGCATTTGTGTGAGCCTTGAAGTGTTACTGCCTTGAGTTGCCATTTCCAGTGTCTTTTCAATACCGAAAACAATTTCTTTCAGTTGCCTTTCTGCGCTGAGAGTGAGTGAGAGAGAGGATGGAGATGATTTTGGGTGTTTCTTCTGACGAGGAATTGTTTTAGGGTCGATAGTCAATTTCTGGATCTTATTTTCTCAAGCAACATTCCCACTTTGTTATGTGAGGAACAAAAGTGCGCCCGGCTTTTTGCAATTCTCACTCTCTAATTGACTAGCTTGTTAGTTTATTAAGGTTTCTAGCAAATGAGAGAGAGTGGAGTTGATTTTGAGAAGTTTCTTCACTGTGATTTTCCACCAGCTTTTTCCCGTTCAGCCTTGAGAGAATTGTTTTAATTTTGAATGAATGTTTTCTCGAAATCTTTGGAAAGTTTATGTGGTGGAAACAAGTGGAAAAGGTTTTGGCCAAATAGAGAGAAGTTTGGGTGAAATGTGAAAATTCCTCTGGGAAATTTACATGAATGTTTGGACAAATCCACACACGTGAGAGGTGGAAGTGTGGAAAAACATTGATTTGGTAGGAAAACACTGGGATATTTTCACTATGTTTCTGTATCAAATTGACTATATGCATTCAAACTATGTTGCTACAGCAACTAAAATGTACCAAACAATTTTCTTCTCTCCGTCACTCTCGGACAAAACTTGCAATTACTTATTAATGAACCGGCGCTAACAGCATGCACACACCCACTAAAAAGGAGGAGAGGAAAAATGCCCCTTGTTCGAGTGCTGTATGGAAAATTGTGGTGGACACAAATGAGGCGCGACAACGCGAAAAGACGACACACACGCCAAGGAAGGCAACAACCAACTGAACAGCCCGAGACGTCGCTACATCCAATATAGTCAGTGCTGTTGTTGCCATTGTCGCACAAGTCTCCACTATTTATTTTATACGCTCTCCCCGGCTTTGTGTTCACTATAGTTACACTTCTTGGCGTTCGCGTGTATTTTGGAGGCGCGCACTGAGGCACTGGCAAATTCCGGACACGGTGTGATTCGCGAAGGAGTGCCCCGGTGGAAGAGTGAGTGCTTGCGCGCCAATTGCCGCTGAAGTTTAATTGTGGAATTAACTTTTCGCCATCACAGATCGCATATATGGTGAATCCTTGAACTCACACGCAATTTTCAATTGTCTCTCCCAACTGTCCGCGATGTTGTCATGCTATTTAATGACCTTTTTTTCCTTCCTCGAAGCGCGAGAAAATTTTGTATTGATGTGACTCAGAGCAATTTACATTTATTTTCCCTTCCTCTCTCACTCTGCATATCATTTCGATATTGACAGTTTATTAGCCCAGAGAGAGAGAGAGTGCGGAAGTGAACAGAGGGTGAGGGTGAGGGTGGATGGGGTGAATTGGGTCAGGTGCCATACGCGGTAATGAAGCACTATTCATAATTTATGAGTGATTTATGCAGTCCTGCAGCCTTCATTTCATTATCTTCAAAAACTCCTGCGCTTTTCCAATCTGTATATACTTTACTTGGAGGAGCAAAGAAGTTGTCGTCGGAGGTACAAAAAAGGCTAATGAAGTTTGAAGAGCTGAAAAGACTTTGTTCGATGAGATGATCACATTATCTGACTCACGTGGAGTATTTTTTGTGTGTATAAAAGAGCTTCTCAACATTCACAAGTTATTCAATTTAACGGAATAATATAAGTAATTAAATTTTCTTACATTTCTAGGGGAAATTGGTCAACTTGTTGAAAGAAGGCTTCAGTGTGTAAATAATTAATTTGAGAAAGGATTTATTTTAAGAGCTAAATTGCTATAAAACATTGTAGATAATTAATAGATGCTTGAAATTCACACTTTAATTACTGCATAATGACTCAAATATGTGTGTTATTCGAAACATTTCCATTCAGATAATTGGGTCAACCACATCTCACATTGATACCTGATAATCCTTGGTCAATATTCTAATATCGATCTTTACTAATCCGAAGAACGGAAACACTTTGAACACTCCAAAGGATAGAATAAGATTATTATTCTCATCAAAGTTTCAAAAGTTTGAACACTATTTGCCTTCGAATCTAGTTCACTTTATTTAATTAACTTTGTATTGATTTTCTTATTTATTGCTTCTGAGATTCACTATGATTTAATGTGAATATTGACCACCAAATTACCCAATAAAAGCACCAGTAATGGGTTCAAGATCGCCGATGAAACCCCCGAAGAAGAAAAAAAAACACCAAAACACCGAAATACACTTAAATTGACGATTAATTGTGGTGGCGAAAGACATTTTTATTGAGAGTTTTGGGGCATAAATTTATTCTCAAGAGAGAGAGAGAGAGAGAAAGTATTGGACAAATAATGTATTGTTATGAAATTATCTGGGAGGATCGGAAAATTATGGCTCTTCGGAGAGTTACAAGCGATTCCAATATATGAGCGCCTCTTTAACCCTTGAGTGCGTGGTTGACAGTCATATATTGTGCTTTTTTACAAGATGTTATGAATACGAAATGTCTTTCATGGCATTGTCACCATGTTGGATGGTAAGAAAAAAAACCCGCACGCTTTTTATTGAAGTCCCTCTATTATGTGGAGGAATAATGCTTGTTGAGTGAATTTTTTCCGCAGAAAGAAAAAAAGAGTTCACCTGAGTGAGGTAACACAGGTCTGGAATAGCATTATTAAGTGCCAGGGGTTTCTCTCTTTTACGTATCATACTTTCATTCTTAATTATTTTTTGCAGGTGAGCGGAAAAATTCCTCAACCACTGTTGTGATGAAGTTTGTTTTGTATGAGAATGAATTTTTCAATATATTTTTCCTGAATGAAAAATTGAAAAAGAATGTCGTGTCAGAAAGTTTTTGACTCTGCCCTGGATAGTTTGAGTGATACGCGCACGAAGTTTGTGAAATCAGTCATCTCTCACCCTTGTTGTGTGCAGAGCGGAGAAAAGATTTCAATTTTCTGCCTCATAATTTATTTAATATCACTCGAAAGTGTCAATAAAGAGCAGAAAATAATACGAGAAGTTTGTGAATCTTGTGTTCCCGCACACCCATCCCGACGAATGGGATACATTTCAAAGTGGATTTTGATTGCGAGGCAGCCATCAACGGAGTTGAGAAGAAGTCTCTGCCAGAGATGGCCTGGATGCGTGGGAAACGATGCTGGAAACTGATGACAATTGATTGCCTTGTTCTTTGCAGAAATTTTTATTTGCTAATCACCATTTTGTCATAAACATGTACACACAGAATTTATTGTTAATTTTCTTATACGTTTTCATCTTGTTTTTTTTTTGTTTGTGAACATTTGACCCGCATTTTAATGTTACTTCTCCTTTTTCACAATTGTTTCTTATTCCTCCATCAATCAACATTCCTTCAGCTATTTTTCATAATCCTCACAAAGGGGTGAATCATTTGAACGTTTTACACACTTTGAAAATGCTGTCCACTGAATTCATGACAATGCGGTAAGTTTCGTGTACACTGTATTATATATTGGTTATCCCCTTTTGCTTTGAAAAACATTTATTTTCTTGTTAGTGCAGAAAAGTTTTCAGCATGAGTACGTATATTCTCTTTCACTGATTTCGTATAGCTGGAAGGAGGATATTTCTATTAAAAAAAATGTCCCAAAAAGCAACACTGATTATCCAAGGGGGAGATTATATGTTCGTAATCTGTGCAACACTTCCTAACACTTCATATTTTTAGACTGTTTCCACAGTAATTTGCGAATTGTAATGAATATCTTAAGGTGTCATGCGATATTTCTGTAAAAATCTACTTCAAACCGCTCTTTTCAGCGTCTTTTCAGACCATAACCTCAAAAATATTACTAATAGATCTTCAAAAACCTCAATTGGGAGCTTCTAGATGGTTAAAATCATCTTTTATCTTTTATCTTACATTACTCTTTTAGAGGTTATGTTCGACTTCAACATAATTTGTAGTGTTTTTTGGCATCAAATGCTTAATTCTGTCAATGACTAGTAATATTAGCGACTTTAGGATAAGAATTGTTGAGCTAGAATGCGTAATATTCACTAAATCCGTCCGTGATTCGTTACATAACCTAGAAAATTATTGTTTCTTCGTACAATTCTGAAGAGAAATTCAAAGAATCGGGATGGTTAGACAGTAAAAGAAGCAAAGAAGGAAGGGAAGATTGTAAGTTTTTGAACACTTCCACTTCTCAAGTACTTCTGCTGATCTGTACATCACTTTTAACTATGATATCTCCCCCTTGGTATTATCCTCTCTGATTTTTTTGCCTTTTTTTCTAACATTTACATATTGGATTTGCATTCTAAAATGAAACAATATAGACATACAATGTACGTATGTATATTCCAACGTGTTTTCTACCCCTCATTTCTGTTCTCATCTCAAAATTTGTGTTTGTGTGTTTCGCTAAAAAATATTTGCATCTTGGCAAATATATTCATGTCTAATCAACATTTTTTCACATTCTCTATATGTTTTGGTTAATTTGACGAAAAAATTATTCTCTGATAAATTGTGAACACATTGGGCTTGATTTAGGATTTCATTTAATCTTCCATTATCGGTTTTATCATCGCAAAGTATATTTTCTCATTGTTAGATTTTTTTTCCCTAAGTCACTTTAGTAATTGTGTAACCTTATTACAAAATTAGAAAATAACTTTAAGGTGATAGAGTTTCGTCATTTCATATTGTTCAATATTAAATATACGATGATCTTTTTTTTTAGTGTAACATCTATATATATAACTTGATAAATCGACCAGCGATTTTATACATTGAAAATTGATGTTAATATGTTATTACTCTCTATTAACACTGTTAGAGTCTTTTATTAACTAAAGTCATATTTTTTTTTAGTGCATATTTTCCTTACACGTAATGTTACATTAATATTTCTCACATTATGCGTTTCATTTAAATCTTCTTTCAATATTTTTTTGTATATATTTTCATGCATGGATATTTCTTTACTTGTTCCTCTGCCTCATGAGAAGTTATCCGTGTTAACAAGTTTCTTCTAAAAATACAATCTTATCTCATATATAATTATTCTGTGGATGTTCACTATATAGTGTCAAGTTAGAATTGAAACAATGGTCTTCATGGATTTTTTCTTTATAACATTTATAATATATTATTTTAGAACTTTGTCAATTTCTTGTTTGAAACAAGGAAATTTGTAGGGCTTTCGATATAGACATTACAAACGACGTCAGATTACATTTATACTAATTTACGCTTTTTTCCGAGGGTTTCTTTTATTTTTCTCTAATAAATATATATCCAGTTTATAGCAAGTTGTTTTTTTTAACGTCGATTCTCGTTTCGGTTCTTCACTAAATATTCATGGCTTTGTCATTTTTTTTTACGCCTATTACTCAATTACGACTAAACATGACGAATTGTTTTACACGTATTTTTCTTTTCTCATGGTTTTTATCAATTAATCTAGGGTTGACACTAAGTAATATATTTTCTTTCTCTGGTGTATAATGCTGCAATATATGCCCAAAAAATCCACTTTGTATTCAAACATCAAAGAATACTCTGTGTTACCCTGCGTACAGACGTGAGGAAATCCTTTGTACGAACGAAGGGTGAGACTTTCCGAAGCATCTTTGTATACTCTTTAAACAATTTGCATATATTTTTTCTTCATAATGTTCTGCCACTAAGAATGTATTGTATATCATACATACATTTTACACCACTAAATATTAATTTTTGGGTTCTGCTTCTCGGTTGTTTTTTTATTTCTTGCTCTCTACAATCATCTGAAAATGTCTCCTCGCACTATAAGTGGTTCAGTTATGCAATCTTTCTCTCTAAAAAATATCATTTTTATTAGCGTATAAAAATAGAAAAACAACTGTAAAGGTATTTAAGTAAATATTCCAATATAAATTTTTTTTTTCAGTCATAAATGAATTTTCTGGCGGTTGTGACATTTTTTCTTCCTCATTTTTCTCCAGTTCAAAACCTTCCCACGCGATCCATTCCAGCTGGAGACGCTCGTATGAAATGGATTCGGTCTTATTTTGCTGTAGAAAAGTCAAATATCTCACACACGCACGATTCGGTCATATTCTCAAAAATGTTTTTCTTTTTTAAATCTCTTTTAAAATTCTCATAGGTTAAAATTTTGAAAATAAATTCTTTCTGGGAAGACGCCACATTTGTCCAAGTGGGTCGCATGGAAGATTGAAAAAGGGCTCTCATCTAATGTTCTCCATTGAAATTGCTCACTATAATCTTTTACAATGTCAATATAATATCTCCTATGAAGTACTCCATCTTACTCTCTCTCTTGACTCTAATCTAACATGACGATTGATCTACGGAGGGTGATTCTTTGGGGGGGTTGGGAAGAAGGGAGAATAATGCGCTTTCTCAGTGGTGATCTAACATTTTGGCTAGTATAATACGCTCCTTTTTTCGCCATCCTCCTCTTGTGGGGGAAACTCGGGAAATCCCCAATTCTTGGTGGCCCTGGGATTTAGAAGAGAAAATCTCCACAATCCATGGCGTAGTCAAAATCCTCGACGCCCAACTCCTCAACGCCTGTCGAATGGAAATCTATGCCAGTCTCCACATCCGTGTGATAGATGCCAGCAATGGAAGTGTCCGCATAGTTCGTGCAGTGATTCGTGGGCAGAGCGTGGAGTGTGAAGGAGTCTTCACATTGTGACCATGTGAGTTCTGTGGGTGGACACAAGAGAGAAAAGAGAGGAAAAAGTGATGCTGAGCGGTTGCTTCTCGAGAAGGGGGTAGAAAAAAGCGAGACACGTTTAAGGGCTGCGAGGGATTCCCATATCGATTTGTGCGGTTTGTTTAGCAACTCAGTATAACTATCCCAGAGTTGCCACAAATCAATCTCAATCTCTAGTTTCTTAATATTCTTTTAAAAATCACACACTTTGTCATGCATTGAATGAGAAACATTACTTTCAATTCTATAGAATCTCAAGCAATCTTAGACGTTATCTTCAATCTACGGCAATTACAATTCTGATCGATTGTCGTTCTTTCTGTTTCTTTACCTCCACTCCATACGCCGTTGGGAAGTGTTGACCAACCCCAGCCGTGCCCCCATGGCAGAACACATGCCAGCGATCCACGTGATGATGAATCATCCTGATTGCCAGTGCTCTTCTTCAGAACCGCCACGGCTGCATCATTGCTCACGGCTGGATTGTGAACGCCATTGTCACTCATCGTCTTCCGTGCGAATATCTCGGAACTTGTTGCAGCTGAAAGATAGCAGAGGCGTAAATTACGCAAATGTTGGCGCATTTCACTGCAATGTGACCCCTTTTTGCTGTAAACACTTACGTCGGATTCGCACCAGCGGACGCTTGAGGACGCCTATTAGATTTGGTTTATCAACAATTAATTCAATTTGCGGCGGAGGCGGAAGCTGCGCAAATGGAAAATCGACACTCATTGAATCATGGCATTATTTTTAAAATCACAAACCATCAATGATAGAATCATAGGCCACAGCGGAGAACCAGAGAATATCCAGAGCGACTTTAGAGAATTAGGAATGCAAATGATTCGAACAGAAGTAATTGTGATGGTAAAACTTTTTCCGCGCATCGCGAAAGGAGCTACAAATTAATTTGCGGTGGGTGATAATTTGCATGAAATGTAATCAATTTATTCAATTAGTTTTAGCAAAAGGTATACTATTACCACCTGCGGAGACGAGAAGTAAATGCACATCACAGAGTTTAATTTAATTTACAGCGAGGGAGAAAAAAAATCCTCTGACTATGCGGAAAACTTCCCTAATAATGCTTAATTTTAATTTAGACATGCAGAGAAGATAAGAGAATGTCTGAAGCATCCTTAAAAGCTTATATTGCTTATATGGCTTGTATGTATAAAGGCGCAATTACGTGAAACTTCTCATAGGCGAATATGAGAATTTCACAGCATCATAACTCAGCACTTTTTTTCACTGCTCGACAGACACAATTCCAGTTTCTGTGTGTGTGTGTGCGTGCCAAAAGAAGCCTATATATGTAAAATATAAAACAGATTATATTCTCTCAAGTGTATTATTCATATTTGTCAAGAGTGAGACGCAATTTCACCTTCTGAAAGTGAAAGGAAATCGAAGCTTTTGATCAAAAGAGTAAACAATTGTGAGTAAGAGAGCCAAAATAGTCACTCACAGTTTCACCCAAATCCAGATGAATCACACAAACTTTGGCGCACAATTTGCGAAAATTTATTGTTGTGGCGAAAACAATGGAGATTTATCTACGCTATATTATTATTAATATGCATAAATGAAAATTATGTCACTGGACGGAAATTGTTCAAATGCGCTTCACTTGAATTGACTGAAAATGATATATATAGATAAAATTACGCTGCCATTATTCAGGAGCTAAACAGAGATTTGCGTGAAATGAAAATGTTGCGGGTTAATTTTCATAGAATTTATCAAATGTGCTAATTTAGCAGTCAATTTTCATGTTTATTTTCTGCTAAAATCTGCCTTTAAAATTTCTATTGCACCTCTCAATTCAGTACATTAAATATGTGCATTCTAGACTAGCATTCTTGAATTGATGCAATCCTTCGAGTATCCTTATTCTCTGAACTATCTAGCCAGAGGAATGTGGAGAATTTCTACTTTATATTCTGTGATGGCACTTTGGTTGAATTTCTTATGTGAAATTTTCAGATAAATTCGTGGATTTGAGACGCTGGGATGATAAAATGTGAAGATATTGGAAGCTTTTCCACATCTCAAATTCACACTCTCTTGTGCAACTTTATTGGGGAAAATTCATTGTAATTCAACCTCTCTCATCCTCGCATCTAACAGAAGGAAGACACACAAATGCACTCAATTGAATATGGATCCATTGAATTGAAAAGCAAGTGATAGGGGAGATTTTCCTAGGGACTTTTGTTAGTTTTCTCTGGGTATGCAAAAGCCAGATACATTTCCCTCCTAAAGCCCATTCATTCCACTAGACAATGTGGAGTATGAATAATTAATTTGACGCTCCTTTTGTTACTTCATTTACTTCCGTGCATTCTGCTGATTTCCTCCTGTGGCCCCTTGAACGCAAATTCAGTTTTGGAGAATTTGATCATACACACCGTCTTCGAAATGGCTGAAATCCATTCACTGAAATCATTTGGCAGAGTGTGGCATTTCGGGGGGAAAAAATCGAGCGGAAGACAGGGTGAAAATTGAGAAAAGAGTTTTATTAATGGGATTAAAAAGTATTAGTCGTACGCGATTTCGTGGAGTGAGAAGAGCATTTTTCACTCCACGCGGAAGCTCTCTCACTCAAAAGCTCTCAGGGTGAATGAAAGAGGGAAATTTCCGATTTTTATTAATAAATCCGTGCGCAGAGCGCATGAGAGTGAGTGCTTATTGTGAATGTTGGATGCTTTTTTGGCATGCGGAGGAAGGTGTGAATAGAGTGTACTAATTGAACGGTCAATATGGAATTTCATTACACCCAGCCGTGCTATGTAATGTTCCACAAAGTGATTCTCCATCGAGCCTCCCTATGTGGAAGAATTCTATGCTGGGTTTTTTTTTCACTAAACATCCCTCCATACATATGTACTTTTTGCTCATAAAATCAATAACTCACAGTTCAATTCGTCCACGCTATTTGTTTGCTTAAATCGAGTGAAATGAGGGTGGAATAGAGTGGGACTATAAATCAAACAGTTCCTCGAGAGTGAAAGAGAAAATTTTCAATTTTCCCCTCTTTCACTCCAAAGCTCTCTTCCGCTGCCATGTGGACTCACCCCACTTCCTGTTCCGACTTCGCCAGCATCCAATAGACTTTGGACTTCTTGCGGCGCGATCCCAGCGCAATGAGCTGCGACACTGTGCAGTTGCCGGGCAGCGGCGGCCGCCGCGGGATTTGTCCCGTCCAGTGAGCGATGGCGAGCATTTCCGGTGCCTCTTTCACCAGGATTTTGCCCGCCGGCGATGACCTTCCGGGCTCCTTTTTGCGCCGCGGCGCACAAATCACAGAGAAAAAGCAATTAGCAAGTCTATTTTCAATTTGCTCACCTGCGAGCATTTCCAAATAACATTTCGTGCTCTACATATACTATATATATATATGGACTTTTCTCGTGAGTCCATCATGGTTGTTTTCTGCTTCGCGATTGACAGCACTTTTGCTGCCATTATAAAGCAGATATTGGACTGATTTCCAGGAATTTCTTCTTTATTGCTGCGCTTTAGGGCACATTTTCAGAAAATTTCCAATTTCTACACATGCCAAGCTATAGAGCTTTATGTCTCAATACCTTATTTACCTTTGACAATTTTCAATTTTTCCCTAATTAAGTGCTTTGAAATTTCTGTGCAATTTTTTTTCCCTATTAATTATGAGTTATTTTCTCTGTATTTCTAGAGAGTGTATTTCTCCGTGCGTGTAAATTGAAGCATGTCTTTTCAATATTAATTACGGAAAGAGGAAAGGCAAGAGTTCTTTGGAAAATACCGCACTTCTCTGAGGTAAATTCCATACTATAAATTCCGTATAAACCAAATTCGCTATTTGCTCTCGAGCCAAAGTGAGTGTGTGTGTTTAGTAAATAAATGGGATTTTGTAGGTGGCGTTAAAAGAGGAATGAATGCAACGTACAGTGAACCAGGCCATTGTTGAATCATCATACAGAACCACCCATTCTTCCTCCCATCGATTCCACAGCAATTGTCCTAGAAAGAATTTCATACACAATTTCCAATGTAAATTTCAACCATGGAATTGGGTTGATGGAACAGAGAGGGTTAGCAAGGGGCAAAAAAAAAGAGTTGCACTCACTTTTGTATCTCAGCAAATATCCGCCCTTTATCTGTTTTCCTGCGGTCGATGCTGCGATTGGACGAATTGAAGGGATGTGGAAAAAAAGAGATGAATTAATTCATATGTTTTGCCATCCCCCAAGAGGAAAATTGCATTCTCTGGAGGTCAGAGAGCACCCACAACTCATTATTAATTGGATTTCTCTATTAACCTTTTCTGCCTAATACGCCCGCCATAGAGCTTTTCAGGTGTGAAATGGTGTCAGGATTGTCTCTTGAAATTTTAATCTCTCCCCTGACATTCTCGTGTGTTGTGTGTGTGTGTGTGTGTGTGTGTGCGGTTGGTACATTTTCTCGGTGAATTTTCAACATTGAAATATTTCACGATAGATCCCATTAGCGGATGAGAGTGTCTCTACGAGATAAAACTGCTTTCTCAAGAATTTTTCTCCCTCATAATCTGAAAGACTGAGTGAAAAAGGCATCACACTGTCACTAATTTCCCTCTCATTCCATCATGCCAAGGCGGCAAATTCAATGAAGAGGAAAATCTTATGATAGACTAAGAGAAATTATTTGGAGTTTTACCCGTGAAAGCCCAAAAAGAATTTCCAATCCTAAAAAAAAAGCAGAAGAAGAAGAAAAAAACACGAGACGAAAAACTAATTTGGAATAATGCTTATACTAGAAGAAAATGCCACCACACTAATGTACAAGAAAAAGAAAGCACGAGTGAGAAAGAGTGGAAGAATTTTTCGATCCCATGAAGCGAGAAAATTTGTACACTTTTCCTCCTCTGTGATTTACCCCCTTGTCTAAAATATTTCTACCCTCATAAAAAATCAGGGATTTTTTTCTCTGCGGGCCCGAATTCCATTCAATCTCCTTTGAAGATGTTAAAGGAGAAAAGTCATAGTGTATGTTTACAAATATTCAATTTCATCAGCCTGTATTTTCCCCATTGTATTTTACAGGGTGGAAAATTCCTTTCTCTCTGCTGGGCCAAATTATAATTTTCCTTCTCCTTCACCATCAAAACCTTTCCTCTTTTCTTCCATTCCTTTTTGGTCAACTTTTTTCTCGCATTTCTCTTTAATTTCACATTAATTCTTCCTCTGTTTCTGTCCTGAGAAATGTTTTAATTTTCACTGCCTCGTCGTAATTTCTCGTTTTTTTCCCCTGTCAAATATAAGAATTCTTTCCATATTTTGAATAGTCGAATTTCATTGTTTTTTTTGCATCTTATTCCACAGATATTTCTTTCTTAGTCACATGAGAAGACAAAGAGAAGTTTCCCTTAGAAACACTTTGTAAGATGTTAGAAGAATTTACTTTAAATAAACTTCAGATGGAAATTCAGGTGAAAATGATATTCCTGAGGCAAAGCGAGTAAATGTACAAACATATTACTGACACTTAACAGTTTTTCAACAGTTTTTGTAACTTTTTAATATCCTTATTTGTGGCATAATTGCATGAGAGAACTCTAAATGTTCACAGATGGTTTGAGAAATGAGCCTTTTAGGATGAAAATCGTCAATTTCATTTAAAATTTTACCGTCAATACTTATATTAAGAGGTCAATTGAAACTTTTCCCTGAATGTAAAATAGTCCCAATATTATTAATTTCTTTCATCCTCAATCTAGAGCTTAATTGGCATTCTCGCACTGTGGTGAAATTCCGTTCAACATTTTCCCTTCCATGCAACCATATATCCCAGGCTAAGCGATATATTTGATTAATGAAGCGATTATTTTGAATAATCTCCCGTGACAGTTGCTGTCCCCTCGATCGATGCTGAATTTCTGGGAATTCTCACTTGAAAATGGATAATATGCGAGAATGAGAGAGATAAAAAACACTCTGGGAAATTCGACTCACTTTTCACTTAAGTGAATTTTGTGTGTCTGGACGTGGGGGGGGAGCGAGGATGAAAAGGAAAACACAGATATTTGAGCAATTGATTTTCCACAATCATCCCTCGACGATCAATGTTGGAGGAGAGTTTGGGGGCTGAGTAAATTTGCGTGGGCAGCGAAGGAGAAGAGCTAATGCGGTGGGTTGGGGAGCGAGAGAGTGCACAAAATTCAATTCATTGTCCTCCTGACCTGAATTTCGATTAGTTTGCTCACCCCTCGCATCCTCCGGAGGACTGACCCACATGATCACAGTGTCGCGCGTCTGGGAATTCCTTCGGTCTATTTTCCCGTGCACACACACACACACACAGCACACACGCGCGCAAAAGGGTGGGAAGTGCATCCTGGATGCGCAGGAGCATTTCCAGGACTACATGGGTGTTGGGGGAGTGGGAGAGGGAGTGAAAAAGGAGGACACTTGAGCTGGAAAGTACAGCATCAGCAGAGGCTGAAGTGTCTCACAAGAGGAAGCTCGTAAGTTGGAAAAGTTGGACAAGAAGTGGAGGCTCATAGGAAAACTTTCTCGTCCTCGAGGAAATTACCCAGGAGCCAACTCGCTCTCTCCATCTGCCCTCATCCGTTTACCCCCAAATGCCCCGCCACAATGTCCAAGAGGGTGAAATTGAAAATTATTACTCACCGTATTGCTCTTTATTATTATCATAATTGGTGGTTACTTCCGTCCTATCAACTTTCGTCCTAATTGTGGGTGTATTCGGGAGGGCTTTTGAGCACATTGAAAACATGGCTGATGTCGTTTTGGCGCGCACCTTCTTCTGTCCCAGGAATTCTGTGGCTTTCTCAGCTGCTGCTGCTGTTTTCTCCCTGTGGAGAAGTGAAAATCACACTTTAAATTTCACTCGAATTCACATCCAAACGCGAGCCACTTAATTATCAAAAACCCCCGCGAATGCAATAGGAGACTTTTTCCTCTCGCAATTTTCACAAATTAATTACACTTTTTTTCGCTCTTAATTATTTCTGGGCAACCGTAATAGATTTTAGATGTTTTTTCTTTTTCACTCCACAACCACACAAACTGTCAACCAGTGAGAATTTTTTTCTTAATTAATTTGTCTTCAGTTGGAGAATTATGAGGAATTAAGCTTACAATTTTGCGGTGTGGCAAATATTTTCGGGATTGTGGTGTAATGAATGGGAATTTTATTGAAATTCTCACCGGAATTTGTGAAAATCAATAATTTTGCCAATATTCATTCACAATTTTCACTTCTGTTTTTGAAGTGTAAAGAGGGAAAGCTGAAAAGTCATAAGGGATATCGAAACGACATATTACAAACTACTCCTCAAAGATAGGCCACTTGAAGTGCTCTAACTGAAGTGCCTGAAGTCGAATAGTTTCGAGTTTTATTGGATGGAAGACATCTAACAAACCCTTGTTCGAGTTATTGGATCACCGATAAAATCTCTGGGAGTTTACAAAATTGAGCGTCAGAACGAAGCCATCAAATTGTCATATTTACATGAATACAGCATTACTGTGAGTGCGATATAGCAATATAATAAAATAAATCCTATCTCGTCGTTGTTCAATTTGGGGGGCTGCTAAAGCGACACCTCTGGAGATATGCAAAAACCATTAATTACATGTAAATTAACATCACTGCCAGAGAATGGATGTTTTCTTTTCCACCCCATCCCCCATCTCTCTCTCTCGCTCTCTGTGTCTTCTCTGTATCAATGGACCACCCTCCGAAAAATTCATAGAAAGCCACCAGTGGAGAAGGATATTCTCTGGGGGTGCTTTTGAGCTTTTCTCCTGCCGAGTGAATTAAATGGTTGTGTTCGGGGATAGTTAATTGAGATTTCTTGTATCTTTCTTTCGCCTCAATCGTCCCAAATCTCACACATTTCTTATCATTTTCCCACACCCCCTGAGCGCCCCCAAAATGACCTCAAGTAATCTTGCAATTGAGCTGTTTTTAATGAGAAATTGCCCCACTGAGGCTCGACTGGTGAGGGAAGCTTTGGTCATAGTGTGATACTTTTGTACAATATATATATTTTTCGGTCACACAGACTATATATATATGCCATACAATCCACGCAACACTCACTTTTCTCGGACAATGAATGAGATGGATGACGATCGTCCACAAAGAGGTTCTTCTGCACAATTTAGCGTCGCTCTGCTGGGCCTTCGAGGAAAAACTTGTACACGCAATTATCTCGTATTTTCCTCCCTCATCCGCTGCTGAAACACTCCCTCAACACTCTCTGGGGCTTCTCCGTTGTCACTTGTATTCTCCTCACGAGGCGAACGGGTGGTTGTAATTTTGTGTGTCTCTTCGAATGCAGACTTATTGATTGTTATTACATAAGTTTACGTCCTCATGTGCGACAACCGCGAGAATTGGCTGAGGCAGCACCTCGTCTTGTGCTCCTGCGAAGCGGTTGTGGAGAAGAAAAACGTCTGGGAAGGAAGGATTTCAACCCCCTTTCACACCGCGTAACAGCTGCGTGGCAATGGAAGGCCTCCGCGCGCGACAGTGCTCAGTGTCCTACTGAATGGAGCACACGACACCACCCCATGTCTCAATCACACCAGGACGACCGTCTCTCTGGTCGGTGGCTCTGTGCGCAGGAGCGGAGTCCTGACACGGATCCCCCGGCGGCCCGCGGCCCAACCTCCGCGGAGCTCGGGCGGCGTGAGAAAAATTTCCACCAGACACCAGGCGAGGCGCGGGGAGAGCGCGCGTCTGGATGGGGCGCGAAGACGCGCGTGAGATAGAAATCGCCAGTCGCGCGAGAGTGCGAGGTGTAATATTTAAATGTTTGAAAATGCTGTTGGTTTAGGATTAAATTCTCAAATGCTGGCAAATAACAATAAAATGCCCAAGAAAATTCGCACATTCTCACCGCGGTGGGGTGAAAATTACTTCGTCCAGGTATCATCTTCAATTGCACGTAATTCACGCGAAAAACTCACGCCGTCGAGATGGCAAATATTTGCGAATCCTCTTGATGAATGTTGAAAATTGCCAAATGGCATTCTGTTCGCAATCAATTGAACACTGGGAAGATCTCCTCTCTTTTGTCTGTTGACTTGGCAAATTGAGACCACAATTCTGAGACTATCGCCGCAATGTTTGCTTTCAATCTCGCTGGAAATTGTCTTTGAACTTTCACTTAGTGCGAACTGCATATTGAACAATGATGGCTGTTAAGTGATCAATTTTCACCACTTAATCACAAGGAAAGTCCTCTTGACTCCTCTTTCACACACACCAGATAAAATGACAACATAAGCTTTTGCATCAATTAAATCAATTTCAATTATGAAATGCACAAAGGATTGCAGTGATTACAGTGCATGACGTGGCCTGAAAATGACAATTTGAGGAAAGAGATGCAATTTACTCAGAAATTTGACGCTTTCACTGGTTTTTCCGGGGAATTGGGAAAAACCTACAAAGCTTTTCGTGGAAAAAAACTCATCACACAGAGAGAGAATCAATTGTGATTAATTAAAGCCACTGCAAATTAGTTATCACACACAAAATACAAACACAGATAATTGAAAGTGAGATATTTTATTTGCAAATTCTATAAAAAATCCAGACTCTCTATCACTGTAATTTCACCTCTACTAAACATTCATTGCATTCCATCAACACTTTTCCTCTCTCTCAACTTTCTGTGTGCCTCATTTTCTCAAATTATCATATTTACATTCCGATGAATCCTCCAAACAGCAGACGATAATATGCATTGGCTGAAGCGCGCGAGTGTCTGGCGGAAAACATTCGCGTGATGTCATTACAAAAAACTCCTGAATAGCTTAACAGACATTTTAATAACTCTCCTGTGTAAAAAGGAATTCACAACTTTTCCTCTCACACACAAAAAAGCCGTATTCGCATAGTTAAATCGCAATTTAATTTTTTCTCTTCGTTATCTCTATTAAATTGTTCATCATTATTTATTCAAAAAAAAAAATTACACAAGTCACTGTGCTTCTCTCACTTCTTACGATAGCATTTCGTAGCTTTATTGTACAGCAATAAAAAGTAAATGTGTCTATAAGAAAATGATAAGAGATGCAATTAACAATCTCTGCATAGAATTGAGGTAAATGTTTAAGAAAATAGACACAGAGATAAGTAACAAATAATAATGCAACAACTTTCTTAATTATATTCTTAATAAGACAAAAAAAAAACTAAGGAAATATCTTGAAGGTAAGAAAAGGTCAAGATTGCCCAAAAACCGTGTGTGTGTGGAATGAGATTTTAAGAGCCGAAAAAATGCTTATTATTTGCTCGCTTCTTGAGTATCATTGAGATGTGTAATCACAACGTGTTAAAGTGTGTGTGTTGTTTGTGTGCACCGTAAGTTTTTACCTGTAAACATTGCATTCTTTAATTCCCTATCCGCTGCCCAAAAGTACCGTTTTTTAGCTGCTTCTTAACAAAATCTCCGCCGGAAAGTTAGTCAGTCGCGAAGGAAGATTATTTTTCGTTCTCTCGAAATGTTGCTTGATTGTCAAGGAAGCCCCTTTTTACAGTTCTCCTTGCTCGCCACCCTTCTTGATCACCTTCAGCTTCGGCGCTGGCGTTGGCTTCGTGTCATTGGGAATCTCTTCGTGAATTGGGATGCTCTCCTTCTTAGGAGCCTCCGTCGTTGGCTTCGTCGGCGGCGGCGACGGAGCTTTCGTGGGTGGCGGAGTGGTTGTCGTTGGCTTTGGGGTGGTTGTGGTCGGTTTAGGGGTGGTTGTAGTTGTTGTGGTCGTTGTTGTTGGCTTCTCAGTCGTTGTGGTCGTCGTTGTTGGCTTCTCAGTCGTTGTGGTCGTCGTTGTGGGTCGCTCAGTTGTGGTGGTCGGCTTGGGAGCCTCCTTCTTCACGCTCTGCAAGTGCTGCGGCACCTTCACTCGTCCCATGTACTTGCTGAACGGCGACCCGAGATAGTAGTAATCGCCCACTTGCAGCAAGTGACTCATTCCCTTCATGGACTCATCAGTGCAGTGCAGAGCCTCCACAATCCTGCCGGACCAGTCAACCTTGAGCATCGTGACGCGCGGCCCGAACACTGCGGAAGTTGTCTCGAAGTGCCCAATGGCGTGGTAGATCTTCTGCGTGTAGATGTTGGGCAGGGAGCTGGAGATGAGACGGAAGGGCGTCTCGATCAGATACAGCATGCGCAGCAGAAACTTCCTGATCAGAGGCACTTTGGCCATGCTGTTGGTGAGCGACGGAGTGTCCTTGTCATAAGGAACAACCAGAGCCACCCAGAAACCATCATCATCAGCGGGAGACAAATTGTCAGGCAAGCCTGCAAGAGAAAGCAGCTGGTGAGAATTCTATCTAATCATTTTGGTATTTAGAGGTGTTTAAACATGTCTCCGTGTAAATAAACAGCCAAGATTGATAACACTGTGTTTACTTTGATGTGTAGAAATGCTATTAACTCAAGCGCTTGTGCTGTATTCAACTGAGAAACTTCATCTTGTCGCACAGCAAGAACAAGACAAGAAGCTAAGCGTAGAGAATTGCAAATCATTCAACCCATTAAGTAAATTTCAAGTGCTTCGCTTGCAAAATTGTCCCCCAGAATCTCAATTTCCATAAATTCATGTGTGCAAATCTCGCTGGCAACAGAAACTCACCCGGCAAATTCTCCAGGAACATCTCAGACGTTCCCTTCTTCGCCCCCTTGAGATGATACTTCCTCAAGCGATTGGCTGCTGTCTCTGCCACCACAATGAAGTCCTCGCCGGGACTGATCAGCAGTCCATTGGCGAAGAACATCTCATCGATCAGCGCTGTGCTGACATTCTTCGCTCTGTCGTAGTGAATGAGTCTTCCTGAGGGATTTGCCAGCATCGTGAACATCCCATCGTCGATGCCGAAGTCTGAGCTGGAGTCTGTCCAGTAGATGTCTCCGGAGCTGTGCACCGCCACGGAGTTGGCAATCTTGGGACGTCGAGGAGTCGCTCCCTTGACTTCCTGATTCATCGAGACAAGCAGTTGCTTCTTCCCATTCTCCACATTCACCTGCCAGATGCCATAGAAGGCGTCCGCCACGATCAGGTGGTTCTTCCTGTTGTCCAGCACCATGCCCAGTGGGCGGCCGCACTTGGACTCCTCGAAGGAGCCCTCGCAGGGCGCCCCAAACTTTGCCACGTGTGTAATGTGGTCCCCATTGATCTGGATGACCTCTCCGCCCTGAATGCCCGTGAAGATGGTGTTCCCAATGGCCAGCAGGTGTTCCGGCCCGTGCACGCGGCCCTCTAGAAGTCTCTCGGCCTTGTTCAGATGCCCATTGAGCTCCAGAACGCCCTTCAGCTCGACAGGTTGGCCAACTCTGCAATGAAAAAAAAACAAGCAAACGTCATCACCTCAAGAGCACCTCTCGCGCGCGCCTCCCATTCCGCCGCTATTAAGCTGTAATTTCCGTAATTTCGGCTCTTCGCGGGGTCCAAGGTCAAGGGGGCGCGCGCTGTGGCACACACTCACTCGAATGGTGCGAAGGGAAAGGTGGTGTGTGGCGGGAATCCCGGCAGGAGCACCACGAGGAAGAAGAAGGCCAGAAAGTAGAGAAACCTCTTCAGCAATCTGCAGCACAAACTCATTGTCACTTTGTGTTAATTGCCACTCTTTTTGCTATCACTTTATGCCAGTCACACTTCCAATGCGACCGAATTCTCCAACTCATATGATGCGATGGAATTACAATTTGCCGGATGCTCTATTGCCAATGTGTCTGGAGAATGCACTGGAAATCCGGAAGAGTTCTCCGGTTTGGTCCGTGGAAGTTCCATTTAGTCAGAGCGCAAACCATTTGTGAGATAAATTGCCTAAATTGCATGGTTGCGATGCAATTTCGTGGGTATTTCTTCATGCGAGTTGCGTGCAATCAGTTTCACTTCGGCATCCGAGACGCACTAGCGCCAGCGGTGATGGCAGAAAGCTCGGGTGCGTGCCGGAAATATTGACATGTCAAGTAATTTTGCGAGAGAGAAACCGAGTGCTTGCGTTGAAGGAAGACAGCTAAGGAAAACCCGCGATATAGTGAATTTTGTGACAAAATAGTGGCCAAAAGCAGAAAGTTGAGTGTACAGAGTGAGATTTAGTGTACAAGGAGTGATCCTGCGAATAGTGGAAGAGTGATAGAAGAGCCAGCAAAGATGTCCAAGTTTGACATGTAAGTAATGGCGAGAGAGAGTGAGAGAGTCACACTCGAAAGATGTAGGTTAAGAAATTCGGGCATTTTCACCTCATTTGCCTGCCAAATTGCTGGGAAATGTGAATGCCGGAGCTCTAATCACACATTCCACTCTCTCCACCCTTTCCGGTCAGGATTAAGCCCTACATAAGCGACAGTGATGAGAGTGACATTGAGACTGAGGATATAGAACAGCTTGGACCACTGGAACCTGGGCCTGGAGAGCACAAATTGCAGTACAACTACTGTCTGTGGTTCGCCAAGAAGGGCTGCCACCGGACATCCATAACACAGGTGAAAGCCACTGAGGTAAGTGCTCCTGGACAGCTTCTTTCCGTCTCCTCGCGATCACTCACGTGCTTCTCTGTCTTTCCATCCGCAGCAGGAGTACGGGAAGTCTCTGCATGTCGTGGGCAGATGCGCCAGTGTGGAGCAGTGGTGGTCACTCTATTGTCACCTCATCAAGCCGACTGCGCTGAAGCCCTATCGTGAATTGCATCTCTTCAAGGTACGCTTCACGCCCTTTTCTGCCCATCCGGAAGCATTTTTCGTGCCGAAAATCTCTCCCGGACGGAGATTTCTCTCTCTAAAGGCGCTTCCGATGGTTGTGGAGGCTCTGGATGGTCTATTTTCTGTCGCTTTTCCTCCTCACGCGAAGCGCCGCTTCCCGGACAATAAGTGCATTCAGCGCTCCAAGTGAGCAGCACGTGAAATTGCATCGAGTGCAACAAGAGAGGAAAATTGGGCGATGAGGAAATTGTGGTGAAATGTTTGGCACAGAAATTCCCAGAAAATCGAGCTCAGTATACTGATTAGGCTTTTGCCTCCTTATCAGTCATAATTAATAGTCTGTTGAAGTGTTGTCGTGATAATGAATTCCCGCGAAAAAGTATATTTATTTTCGTGAGTATTTTTTCACGTGTGTGAATTTTGCTGGACGCGCGCGCTGGTGGAAAAGGGGCGTCTTTTCTGTGTATTCTGTGTATATTTGGGATTCAATTTGATTTAGACGGCCGGCCAAACACGTTTTGCTCTCAAAATTAATGAATATTCAAATGAACCTCTTCTTGGAAGAGAGTGTTTTTTGGGTGGTAGAAACTTCATTAGATTGTTGAGTTTTATTGAATGAAGTTTCGCGTGCTTTTGAGCTTGAATGAATGAAGCTTGGAAAGCTTGAATGGGGAAAATGCCTTTTCCCAACCCTTTTGGATTGTTTATTGTATAATTCAGTGATGAAACTCGGTCACTTTTGTGTTTTATTCCCTACAATTGTCTCTCTCTCTCTCTGGGAAAGTTGTAATTCCACTTGAAGAATTTCATCTTGAGGCAGTGGATGAATGACTGGGGGTTTTCTCTCCCCTTTTGCAGAGCGGAATAAAGCCAATGTGGGAGGATCCAGGCAATGCCAAAGGCGGAAAGTGGGTGATAAAGCTCCGGAAGAATAAGATCGATCGTGCCTGGGAGACTGTCTGCATGGCGATGCTGGGTGAGCAATTCCTTGTCGGACCTGAAATCTGTGGCGTTGTGCTGTGCACCAAGTTCCCGGTAAGTTTTCATCACATTTCCACACGCTGCGCGCGCCTTCTTTGGAGAAAAAGGAGGCTGTCGAGGGCGATGGACTAATGGGGCTCATTTTGCATGGCTTGAGTTTCAGGAGGATCTACTCTCCGTGTGGAATCGCACAGCGACAGATCAGGCGAGCACAGCTAGAATAAGGGACACACTCAGACGGATTCTCAACTTACCTCCGAATACTCCTATGGAGTATAAGCCACACTGTGATAGCTTAAAGTGAGTGGCAAATTGTTGTGAAAGAATTGAACAAAGAGAAAGTAATGCTGTTTGTTTTGTCTTGTCTTGCAGGAAATCAAAAACACTACTGAATAAGAGTTGAGCTTGTTCGCCGGACAGATAATTAATCCTCCTTTTTCATCATGTCTCTTAAACTTTGATCAGAAGAAATATACACACAAGAAATTGTTATATAGACTTATAGAGCATCATCCCTCAACCGATCCATTTTTACCACAAACTGTAGAAAGAGAGAAAAAAAGTATGAAAAAATGCGCATTGTGTGAAGAAGGAAGTTTCTGTCGGGGAAAAATGGGCTTTTTTTTTCAACCTGTGCAGGAAGAAAAAGAGGAGAAAAATTACAGTGGGAGAGAAGAGAGAAAATTGTGGATTTTGATTCTGAATAAAACGAAAAAAACACTTGTTTTACACAAAAATTCATGCCTCTGATCTCTCATTGATATTTCCACGACATCTTCTCCCCAAAATCTCCTGGGCATTCCATCAAGTGGCGTCGTGAGAATGGCAAATTAATCTCCGTGCTTGACACTCTCTAGCTCAGATTGCTGCTCGGGGAATTGCTGTTGCCCAGAAGCGAAGCGACGATTTAAGAACTCTGCTCACAGATTCTTCGGCCTCTTCTTTTACTGCGGGGCGGAAATTGAAAAGTCAGACGCAGGTAAAGAGTGTTATTTTAGGAAAAATTCATCCAAAAACATGTGTTTTTTTTCTCATTAACATACGATTTATTCCAATTTGTTATCCATATTACAAAAGTATTAATTGAATTTTCTTTTCCTTCCTTAAATAGTTTTTTTTTCCTTACACTTGCAAAAATATCTTTTATAATTCATTTCATAATTGCAATTATGAAATCACAAGTAACATTAATTTTTTTTCTCTCCTTTTCACACTTCATTAAATCTTCGCATTTTTTAGAAAAATTTTGAGAATTTCTTTTTTGACTCAATTTATGTTTGACTTTTTTTTTCTTATCAAAAAAGGAAAAAAAACACGCACCCGAAATGCCGCCGTTTTATTCGTTGCAAAGAAAAATACTCTTAAGACATAAGAAATTTTTTTTTACCGTCAAGACAATTTAAGATGAAAAAAAAAGAATTAAACAAAACAAGAGAATAGTGAAAAATATTTTATAAAATAAATATATTAAAATAATTAAATCTGAAACTTATGAGGTAGACAAACTTTCGCATCTGCGCGAAAGGTAAATTATTTCTTCGACACTCGCTCTTCATCTCTAAAAAAAAAACCTTAAATTAACAAGGTTTGTTCTCTCTATCAAATAAAGATAATAAAATTATTTATATTTATCAATAAAGTTGTAAAATTAAAACAAATATATCTTTTCTTTCTGGTTTCTGCTGCCCTTTTAGAATGAATTAATTATCAAGTAACAAATATTATAGTATTTTCAATGTAACTTTATGTTTTCTGTTTCTCATTTTTCTCTTCTTCAAGAACTCTATTTTAAATTAGAAAAAAAATGCTTCTTGGTGGTGAAAAATTTTCTAATAACCGGAATGTTTTGTTATTACAATATTATTTAACCATCTCAAGCTGAAAGAAGAAGAAGAAAAAACCCCTCAGAAAAAGAATCTCATCAGTGAAATTTGTCATGAAATTAGAAGATTGTTCGTTATCAAAATTAAAAAAAAACGGGAGATTTCTCAATTATTTCTTCACTCAACCTAAAAAACACAAATTACAAAAATACACTAGAGAAAATAATAAAAATATTTTAGAGAAAAATTACAATGAAACAAAAACTAATACAAATTAATTAAAATATTTACAAAATATATATAATTCATCTTTTTAGTTTGCTTTTCCGTGTTTTCTTCTAAATCCTCTTCAAAGTGTCACTAAAACAAAAAAAAATGGTAACTATAAAAAAAGACGTGAGTGCATTTAAAACTCTCTTTTTTTGTATGACTTTTGTGCTTGAAAATCTTATATTTTTCTACAATTTTTCCCAACACTTTTTTTTCCCCTTTAAGCTTCTTCTGTGAAGAGGAATTTTTTTTTCTTTTTGAAGAAAATCAAAAACAACTTTTGCGGAAAAATCAGCAGAAGAGCCAAATAAAAAGCGTGCACAAAAATATTAAATCCTGAGAATCTGGGTTTTATATATAAATATATATAAAAAAAAACTTGTTAACATTTTACACAAAAAATACCGCTCTTCCATTGAAATAAAAAAAAATATAGTCATAGTTCAAGAGAATATAAAAATCCTGCAGGAAGAAAAAAATATATAATAGCAATATTTGTGTGATATTCTTTGTAGCCTCTTCTCGAATAAATTAAATTGGAAATATTTGAAAAATTTTCTCTAGCCTTTCCTTATATTGTCTTTGCCCCATTTCTATTGCAGGTATAATAAGCAACATTTTTCTCATAATTTATTCTTTTTTTTCAATTCTTAATCCAATTTGCAAAAATTAAAAAATGCGTCCAAAAATCTGCAACATTTCAAAAAATTTATCATAATTTCTTTCTCTCTTTCTTTTCTAAAAAATCTTTCAGTGCCAAAAATTTCTTTTCATCAATCATTTCGACTCATTTTTAACATGAATAACATTTGTTCTTCGTGTTTCTTTTTCTTGCCAATACGTAAAATAGCTCTTATCTTTTGTCTTCTTAATTTTTTTTTTTTACAAATATCCTTACATTTTACAAACATTACACAGAGAAACATCCTATCCAGTACCTCAACTTCCTCTTTAAACGCGAAAACCCTCTTTTTTTTTAAATGAGAAATATATACTTATGAAGGATTTTTCTTTATCTTTTAAATCACTTAATCAAACTAAAGGGATAATTTTTTTTCTCTCTCTTCTGCAAAAATATTCACCCAAAAGTGGAAATCTTTAACAGAATTTCCAAAAGATGAATTGAGGAAAGTCTACAAAAGTGGTAATCACAAAAATTGTCTTAATATCTCTGTTTTTATATATCGACGGGTGCCTCGAAAACTATAAAAAGTCAAAATCGCCATTTTTCAGCAAAGCGAGTTCAAAATTTTGCATTAAAACAGCTGCGAAATTTGTCAAATATACTTCAAAATACTCAAAATGCCTTCAAATCGTTCGTTAAAGTGAAAATATTGCTTTCTATTTTTTATTTTGTAAATGTTTTCTTGGTATTTATTGAAATTTTTCACTAAAATGTGGCAAAAGTAATAGTAAATCTGAAAATATCACTTTTCAAAGTCGATTTTTAATGGTTTTTGAGTCGATTTTATACAAAAAATCAACTTTTCATACTTTACTTGAACTTTTTCTAATTGTTTTCAAGTGAAAAAATTTAAAAGATATGAGAAATATTCATTTAAAGTCCAAAAAAAAAACATTTTAGGATAATTCTAAAAATCTACAAATATTTTCTAAAAAGACGTTTTATGCATTTGACTGCAATTTTTGAGACATTTTTCTTGCAAAAATTGTACAGCGTAAACAATGAAAATTCGACTTTTCATTCGCAAAACATGACAATTTTTTTCCATTTGTGCTTTTTAGATAAATAAGATTTTTTGTCTATTGTCTCATAAGATACAAATCTTAAAATTCTTGTTTTCCATTCACCCGTCGATATAGTGAAAAAAAAATCAAGAAATTTTCAGTCCCAATAAAAGTACGTATTCTTGAGCAAATTTTTTTTCATGGAAAATCGAAGAAAATTAATCTAACAATCATCATCGTTCAGTGAAAATGCACATGTTTGCTGTGTATATAAAAAGGAATGAAAATCATTTGGTTGGAAATAAAGTGGTTGAAGTTTGTGTGTTGCGAATAAATGTTGGTTGGGAAAAGCTTAAAGCTGTCTATTGCACTTTTATGTCTATATTTCCTATGTTTAATTGTTTTAATCTGATTCTTCATGTGTTCTCTTTGCTTTTTCAACATAAATCAACTGTCTTACAAAATGCTCTATTGTGGCTAAACTCCGGGTTTATCTGGGTTTTATCATGGACATTGGCACTGTGTGATTTTATTTTAACCGTGAAATTTCCTTTTTTCCCTTCTCTTCATCATTCATTATATATTTAAAAGAAAAAATCCAAAATTTTGTACTTGTTTCCAAAAGTTCATCCTCATCTCCTGGCTTTTTCCTTTTTTTGATTACCACCAATTTTTTTTTCGGGGGAAAATAGCTAAACATATGAAAAGTAAAAAATACGTACTTAAGAAAAAGACACACTCAATAAATTTGTCCACAAATATTACACAATGACAGAAAGTTTAGATAAATTTTATAGTATTTTTTGTTCTCTCAATTATCCCCATTTTGCATAAGATCATCTACATTATACAACATTTTCTTCTTTTCGTGCCCATTCAATAAATCCTCAATATTATTATAAATCTGTTTTCCATCATCCTTCGTCCATTTTCTCTCAATTGTCACTTTTTCTCAATCTTGGTTTCTTCAATCTCTTCAAATAACATTTCTTGCATCAACTGGTTAATTAGTAATTTTAATGTTTTTTTTTTCTCTCTCAAAAAAGTTCTGTTCTTTCAAATTTCTTTTTTTTTATCTCTTTTGTTCAAACATTGTTTTTTTTCTTTGTTTTGTTCTTTTTTTTTGTACATTCAAGGCACAATAAAATATTCTTTTTTTGCCGTTAGATTTGACCTAATTTCGTCCCATAAGTAAAAAGTTTTTAATATTTTCTTTAATTTTGAAGTTAAAAATTTTATTTATCTCATTTCGTATTTTTTGCCAATTTTTTTTATTCAAGTGTAAGTTTCTTGTTTGTGTAAGTTTATTAGTGCCAATTACTTCGTTATCAATGGACCAATTCACATTCAAAACATCAACTCAAAAAGCTGTTGAAAGTTTTCTCTTTTTTTTCCTTCCCTCTGAAAGTTATTTAAACCATAAATATTTTTCATGCTTCTGCAATGATGAGAGTGTAAAAGAACCCCTTTTGTGAAACACCTTTCTCTGTGCATCGCTTTCAAATCTTGTTCTGTGTGTGTTGTGTTCTGTTGTTATTTCAATATCTATGTTTTTATACTCAATGTTTTGCAATATATGTTTTTATTTTAAAAATATCTATATGATGTAATCAGGTACAAGAACTAACGGTAATTATTAACATATATACGTATCTCTAACTTCTCATCTCCCTTAGTAGCCCCTTTGAAAAAATCTTACTCCCTCTTTCTCTCTCTCTCTATCTGTCTATCTTATGAAAAAAAGTATCTCTCACTACTCTTGCTTCCAGCACAAAGAAAAAATAGTAATAAAAAGTACGACAAAATGTATCCAAAATCTAAAGGTAAAAAGTTCTTTTTTAAAATATACTCCTAATTTTCCACACTTTTTCTCATCAAATTGAGCGAAATTGTAATTTTTTTTTATTGATATTTATGATTTTTTTCCTCTCATTTATATAATAAGAATTTATACGAAATATATATAGAAAAAAAAATTATATCCAATAACTTACATGAGATTTCTTTCTACCACCTTTTTAATTCGTCACTAAAAAGAATTAATTTTTTTTTTTCTTTCCTTACTTTGCAATCATTCGATAGTAGTTTGTTTTATCAAATCTTACCGACAAACATAATTCCAAAAATACCTTTCTTACATTATTTAAAAAAAAAGAAAAATCATTACTACAGAGTTTTTCACACATTTTTCTCCAATTGGTTCGTCTCCACCAATTTTTTCACACAATCACGTGAAAATTTACACAACAGTTTTAATATCTTTCTCATTTTCTTTGATCTTCTTTTATATATATTTTTTTTTGAAGTGTTTTCACTTTTCACTGTTCACACACTTTCTCTTTATTAGGAGATGAACAAAAATAATTGTGTAAAATTGTGATCAATCTCAATATTTTTAGCCTCCTTTTTACTCCTTTTCTCTCTTTCTTTCCATTTTAGTCGATGTGTTTGGCAAAAGAATGTTAAGATCATGATCTTCACTAGATCACAAGTCAATAAAAAAAAAGTAATAAATACATATCCTAAACGAAGAAATATGCCAAAAGGACAAATTTTAAGGGTGTTTCATTTCAGCCAAAATAAGATCTTTTTGTTGTTTTTCAATTTTCATAGTCATGTGATCGCACTCCTTTGTTTTTTTTTTCCTTTGACGGTGATGATCTTCAGGCAGATCCGAAGATCATGATCACAACCCTAACGAAGAACTGCGATAATTTTTTTTTGTGTAGATTTCCAGGGGCGCAGGGGAGTTTTGTGGCACATGAGGGAGAGCTGGTGAAAATGGAGTGTGTTTGTTACTTAACCTTCCCGGCTATGGCGATCAATTCCTTCTTCCTCTTTTCCTTTCTCTCTCTTTTTGATCTCCTTTATCCATTTGGTCCAACAATTGGTCTTCGATAGGCGCTCTCGTTGTTCTGATGATGACTCTTCTTCCCACTCGCCACACTGTTGACAATCCAATTGAAGGTGTCATCACACTTTGGAATGCCATTGTGATGCGCAGATCGAATATCACTTGAGCCATTGTGATATTTGATATCGATGCAATTCGGAACTGTTTTCGCCAATTTTGGTGTTGAATGCACCAAAAGTTGCTGTTGACTGTCATCATTGAACTCAACAGAGTCAACTGTTGTCTCATGCACATTGTTGTTAATGGGAATCTGCTGATTCGGTGGTGTTGTGGAATGTTGAGGTGTGATATTCAGCGTCTTTACAGCTCCATTCATATGGCTTAAGCTCCCATTACCATTCATGCCCTCCGTCTTCACAGCAACGTCACAGCAATCATCCACCCTCAGAGTGTTCTCTGACTTGCTACTCCCATTGCCACTGCTCTCCTCCTCACCCTCACCCTCACATCGACTCTTCACACCCCTGTCGATCCGCGGGGACGAATTCAGGGCAATCTGCTGTCCATTCTCCCGCCTAGACTCACTTCCCGTGAAGCTATCCAGGATCACGTGCTTCGCATTGCCATTCGGCGTACTCACGAACGGTGTTGTCGTCAATCCCGTGTGCGGAATGAGTGTCTGCATCTCATGATTGTCCCTATTGCAGGGATGAAGTGACTGATCGTATGCCAGATTTTGATTGTGATTCATCGCATTCTGACGACTCTTTGTGCAACTTCTGAACTTTAAGAAAATGAGGAAGAAAATCGAGATGCACACAAATGACAACACAATCCCTATTATAATCCCCAAAATCTTTGCCTGTTTCGAACTCTCTTCACCACTTCCAACCACCTGTTCAACACCCTTGAGATTCATATAAATCGGAATACCAATTCCTGCACTTCCAACAGCGCGAATTGTTATATTCACCCTCTCGCTGCTCGTCACATTCGGCAACTGAAGAGAGAGAGAGAGAAATAATAATCATTAACCAATGATCTGGAAAATACCACCAATTAAGCATCAAATCTCCTCACCTTAAAGGCATTCTCATTGATGCTCACATTTGCCGACATCTCCATTTGCTCCTTATTCCACACAATTGAGTAATACTGAAGTTCACCATTGATATTCACGGGTGGACTCCAATGGAGTGTTATGCCGTCATCATACGTGAGATGGTGTTTGGTAATTGGACCAGGAACATCTTGATGTGTCTGCACAACAATGACATCGGTGATTGGTTGCGTGGAATTGCAATTTCTCAAGTACATTCGATACTTTGTGAATGGCGGTAATGATTTCACCTCCACTGACGATCGATTTGCATTGCTGTGTGGATTAGTAGAAAAAAATAGATCAATTTTTAATTTTATCACACAACGTGCGACAATAATGCCCAATATTTATTGCTAGGACACCAATAATGTGCTGACATGAGCAACAATTTGACAACAAATCCTTCAACTTTAAGTGCTCATAAGCCGATAATTTCATTGTCCACTTTGGCAATAGGAATTTAATGATGAGTTGTGGTTTCAATCTTCTCACTCCACACTTCATCTCACGAGGAATTGCAGCTACTGGTATTACGGTACACTTCAAGACACTTCTATAATATCCATTTTCTTATTTATCTAGTCGAAAAATTGCATGAATTTCAATTTACACACTTATCTTCGCACGTTCAGTCTCTTTGCCTCTGCTAAATGGATTAAAAATCCAGTTTGAGCAAACTTACAATTAACCACTGTCATTCCTCTCACTTAAGAAAACCCCATAACTTACGATAATACTTAAGGCAATTTCTGCTAGCGGCGCAGCAAGTTCAAACAGAGAGTGCGTCTTGTATTAATTATCGCCTTTATTTATGCCTTTTCGATTAATATTGATTGAAAATTACCTCTTTTTAATAAAAATCACATTTTAATCAACAACCAACTGAATGCGATAAAAGTAATTTTTAGTGTTCAATTTCAAACAAATAAATAAACAAACAATATCACAGGAGATTTTCACCCAATCTGCATGTGTTAAATCTTATAACACTTCCTCATCATCATGGGCATTATTTCTCTACGAGAACAAAGAGACTAAATATAGGCATCATAAAGTAATAAAGTAATTTCATTGAATGCCCCGTCGAAAAGATAAAACACTCGTGGAAATTGTGTCAACGTGAAAAAAAGCTCTCATCAAATATAGAGAGAAGCTTTTTCGTTATGCAAAAAATTTTGCAAATAAAACTTTTCCAAGGCGAAACGTGCAAAATATCCCTTTTCTCTCTTTCTTTCTCTCCTTCTCTCTTTAAGATTTATATCACAAACCACACGAGAGACACGAGATATTTGCGGTTACGATAGTAAATGCAACATTGTATGTTTTATGATGAAGAAAATTGCTCCATTTTCTCCTTGAATTTTTCCCTTCAGCACAAGAAAGATTGAAAACTTACATTGCTTTACACTCATCAGCTCTGCCACCGCGGAAAACCACATCCACATTCACGTTCCTGAAGCAGAGTTTGAGGCATGAATTGACAGTCTTGGCTCCAAAGGAGTTCCACGAGAGCTGAACAGTTGTGGTAGTGACAGAATTCACCCGGAGTTGCGAAACACCGTTCGGTGAATTTTCAATCTGCAGAGAAAACAAGAAGAAATAATTGATTGTAAATATTTTCTCAGGGTTTGATGGTAAGAATTAAGACACAAAAACCGGGATAATCGATAAATCGCGACATTTTGTCAGAAATATCCATGCAAATTTCACGAATAACTCTCGCCCACAATGCTTTCTCTTCTCTCAACTAAAAACTCACCATCTTCCATGGGATATAGTCCAAATCCTGCTCATCAATGGGATTATCTGGTGTCGCACCCAAAACCCTCACTTCAATCTTACTGGAATTTGGTATGAGGATTCCGGTCACATTTCCCGGGATTAAAAGTTCCGTCCTCGTTTCATTGTGGGCCACATTGAAGAATTTACTGGTGGGAACTTGTGTTGTACTCCCACCATCGCCATCATCGCCTGACACATTCAAATTCTCCGTGGAATCCAGCATTTGCGATGTCTCCTTGAGTGATCGCAAATCTCGCCTCAACAGTGGCATCGTGACGATGCTCGTCTCAGCCGATATCTTCGTCAGATTGCCCTCAATCTCCTGCCACGTTCGATATTCATTCAATTCACACGTGGTGCCGATGATCTGGTCCGAGAAGACAATGGGATTCTTCATGTCGCGGTGACGAAATTGAATCCTAAATGACTCAATTGGGAGATCCTTCACGTGAGGCCACCAAATAAAGATTCCACTGGGAAATGGTGTTGAGAAAATTTCCACTGTAAACACGAAAAAAAGAAAGAATAAGAGGGTGAAAAGCGAAATCACAAGTTGGAAAACATGAGGAAAAACTCATGTCTCCAGAGAGATTTCCACCACCAAAAATTCTTCCCAGCCATAGACATTTCTTCACGCAATTTTCCTCCTCCCAAATTTGTCGGCCTCTTTTTTTTTCCTCAACTCACATTCCTAACATAGATGAGAACTGAGAGATTTTTTTTCTCCACGATAAAAGCTCGCCGAAAGGTATAATCAAAATGTAATAAATGTTTTTGAATTGATGTTCAATTAATTTAAATCCTCCAGTGTTTTTGCAATTGATGATGACGAAAAAAACAGGAGAATTGAAAGCTTGATAAACAATTTCTATTCTTCTTTGCAAACAAGACGCTCTCGACAAATCTACAATCATATTTGATTATCAATTCACTTGAAGAATATCGATAAAAGTCTCCTCTTTGAGATATTAATTTTTCCACCCTTAAAAAACCCTCTTTTATATTAGCAAATGTAATGTGAAAAAAAGGTCTTCATTCATCCAATTAGAACATTTATATGTTCCGAACAATCATAACATTTTTCACACAACAATGTTGCAGTTTAATTTCCCACACGCACACACGTTATTTACAAAAGAATTAAATGCCAATGAGATAAATTAAATAACTATAAACAATTAAATACTTCCACGTGTTTGCTAGCGTGCATAAAATTTGCCATTTCATAGCTTCTCTCCTCATCGCGATGATGCCGTAATATTTTCAAAATGTGTATAATTTTGTGAAGATTCCGCCGGCCTCAATCATTACACTGTTCACAATATATTTAGAAGTTAAAATCATACATTTTCCCACTTAATTACTTCCCTCCTCACTATTGCGTCTCACAATTCACGGTGTTCCCAAGACTATCAGAGCTTTGAGAATATGATCTACGCCAGCGATCGTGTGTCTCCAGACGCTGAGACGACAGTGCGAATGATACTTTGAAGGCTCTGAGAGTGTTTCTTTCTTTCCCTTCATCTAGTCTGAGGAATGACAAATGACTGATATACTCACATCCTTGCGTGGCACATTTGATGCCCTTCGTGAGACTGCCCATCACCATGTGCGCCTTCACATCCCTCCCAATTGTCTCCGTGTGATCCCTCTTCAGGCCCCTCATGTACAGCGTGTAGGGCTTCAAGGGTCGCATCTTGCCGGCAATGATGATGGTGTTGTTGCGCTGAATCTCCAGCGGACCCGGCGACAGCCACGTGTAGGGATCCTCCGTGGCCAAGTAGTAGCTCACCACATGAATAGGCTCAAGTGAGTCAAATTGTACACGAACTGTGGTGTAGTTGACGGGATAGCATTTCACATTGTTCAACCGTGACAATTTCCGCCTCTTCCTCAGCGACAAATTAGCCGACATTTGAATCTCACCAGCGTCATTCTTCGCAAAACACTGATAAATCCCCTCATCTTCCGGATCAATTGAGTTCAGCTTCAGCTGCTGCTCTTCATGGTGAATGGCATGAGTATTCTTGAGGAGTCTTCCGTTGTGATACCACGTTATCACCGGCGGTGGATTTCCACTGGCGACACACGGAAGCGCCACTGTGGCCCCCATAATTGTGGCCACCGAGGACATGTTCTGCAGAAATCTTGGCTCACTGAGAACAATGACGTTGTACAACTGAAAAAAGGATATACAAGAGAAAGAGAGAATATTCATGAGAAATCTACGCAGAAAGCACCGTGACTTGTGGAAAATATCTCATAAGAACATGATATTTCAGTAATTCTTTTCTCCCTTTCATTAATGCAATCAATGAGCGTTATTTGCTGAGAGGGTGTAATAATGAATTGAGGAGTGAAAGATTGCATTATTGGATATCAACATTGGAATTGAATTTCACTACGCCACGAAAAATAAAGGGAAAAGACAAGTGAATTTTCTTCTATTTTTTTTCATACACACAAAAACATAATGAAACATTCACATTGGTTTTTATGATTCAAGAAGGTGTTTCAGAACCGGTAAATTGTTATAAAAAACAAAATCTCATCCGATTCACAACAGCACTTTTAGGCCTAAAAGCTGTTAATCTTCAAATAGACGCATTTTTTCTCAACCTTTCGCAATCAACTGTATCACCAGAGAAAAAACATCATCACGAGGTTACTGAACTAATAAAGGTTTGGCTGTTGTTGAAATTTTGACGAAATTCCCAAAAATCACATTTAAAATAGTGTCAGTAATTCACTCTTCCTGAGCAATTCGTCACTTTTTCATGATGATTTTATTGCCTGGTTTATTGATCAATATTTACTCATGAATTAATTAATAACTGCTTATCTATTCACGCTTTTTTTATATCATCAACTAACCGTGTTATCGAAATGAATGGATATCAAAACAACACTTCCGATACGGCGTAGGCCTTCTTTTTTCCCTCCTCTTTTCACCCCCATTCACCCATAATATTCGGAATATTCTGTACAAGCAGCAGTTGGTTGGAGTAATTAGATGTGAGAGATTAATGCGCGGGTGTATTTTTAAAGGAGAGTGAGTGAGATAATGAAGAAATTTTCCTCTGCAATATTATAAATTCTTCATACAATAATTACACAAAGATTAAAATGAGAAATGGTTAGGAAAAATGAAGATGAAGAGAGCAATGATTAGTAATGTGCCCGGAATAGAAGAGGTAAAGAAATTGTAATGTGAAAATACAACTGATTAATAATTGCAAGAAAAAAAAAGGTGAAGTTGAGTGGCAAAATAGCGCAAATCAAGTACAAATTCTTATGTAATTAAAGGCAAGAGAAATAAATTGTTGGAGATAATTGAATTTGCTCGAGTGGGAGAAATGCCTCATTTCTTTCTTTTTTTTCTTGCACGCTCACCTGATAAGATGCCGCAGTGGAGCAGTTGTAAACTCCTTCGTGACGTTCTCGTGAGACATTTGTGTACTTCAATTCGTATTTAACACCACTCAATTTTATCGGTATTGATGATGTACTTGGCGTGAAACTCCATTCAACCTGAACAGTGGGAAAATATATATAAATAAAGATATGTTATTTTCAGACTTCCAATGAAAATCAACAAATAAATACACAATTTAAGAGTCACACACTCACAGTTTCGCCCCCAAATGAGACACAGAAGAGCTGCAATGTGTCACCACTCATTATCTTTTGCTCCACTTCTTGCAGTGCCGGAAACAATCCATGGCGATTGGTCCTTGAAGACATCACTGTGACTTGTGGCATGAAAATCCTCTCGGATTTCTGCAAATACTCATTCTTCGCGATACACCTGCAAAAAGATTGGCAAAAAAGAGACACACCAGCATGATTGCCAAATTCCAAACTTTTGCACATTAACAGAGAGTGAGAGACAAATCGCTAGAAATATATATAAAATAAAAAAGTTCGTTCATGGTTATCAAGAATAATTTTGTAATATTAAGGAGGAAGTACAAAAAAAAAAAAGAAATAAACCATATATTATGTATATGAGCACGAGAGCAAATTCGATTTCATGCCATTTCTATTACATCACACGCACACTCACGTATTAAATTCTGCTATTCGCGATAAACTTTTGCGCTTTTGTTCCATCATCATTGAAAAGACTGAATCACACTCCAACATTGGAGATTTTTGAGTCAAAGAGGACAGAAAATAAAATTACTTTTGACCATTTTCTTGGAATTTTTTCTAATAAAATTTCGCAAAAAGGTCGCACATTCTACTGAAGATTATGTTGAATGAACACAAAGCACAGACCGCTGAACTGAATGTACATAAATTAATGAAAAAAAAAATCAGACTAGCAAAACTACTAATCAAATTTCTGCCATCAAATTTCAGAGAATTTCTTGGCACATGTGAAGGGAAAAATTCACTTTCTGTAGTGGAAATATTATTAAAAATTTTGTTGTAATCCAAGGATTCAATATTTCTCTTAGGGATTATTTAGAAAATTCCACAACATATTCGCTTTGCTGTTCCACAGAAAACCCCTCCCTTAAAATCCCTTCTCTACGAGTCTTTTAGTATAAAAGAGCGACATCCAAGAAAGGATAATGTGGAAGATTTTATGAGTGATTCCGCCTTCATCTCTCTCTCCTTATGTTTCTTTTTCTCTCTCTCGGTCGAAGTAATTTCTCCATAATACTGTTATGAGTCCAATATTTTTCTCATTTACCCAACAATAAACCATAAATATTCCTCCAATATATATCATATTAAGGCTGAGAGAATTTATCCTCTCTCTTCGCATGCAACAAATAAATGAAATATCAACTTGGGTGAATCCTCTTGGAATAAGAAATCACATTCAAATCTGTCTCAATCATTGTTCAAACATTCACAACTCCACAATCATCGCTCACTTCTAAAAAGCAGAATGCAGAAACAATAACAGAAGAAAAAAAAAACAGTATTAATCGTTCTTCTCTCTCACGAGATTAGAAAAACAAGCAAAAAAAGGTGATTATTTAATGTGTCTGTTGAGATTAATGAACGAAAAATATATATATAAATAGAGAAAAGATCAATATTAAAGTTGAATGGAAATATTTGCAAATATTTGTGATCAAGAGATACCAACAAAAAAAAAAACGGAAAAATGATGACAAATGAATTAATGCAGTAATAAAAGAACTTGACATTGTTTGCCGGCATTTTTTGCCGAGGAAAAGGGGGACTTAAAGAAAAATATTTACACACTATTTGTAGCTTACTATTAAGAGATTTTTTTTAGCATTACATAGAGCCACAGCTGGTGCTAAAATAAAATACACAAAATTATTCTTATGAGTGATTCTCCTAACTCATCTCACTACTCAATCTTTCATCTTTCCTCTCTAAATGTCTAAATGAATGAGTGAATTTTGCACAAGACCAAATTTAAAGCTTTTGTAAACATTGAGAGTAATATGGAAAAAAGTATACTAAATAAAATACAAAATGGATGATTTTGAAAGAAAAATAAAACAAGAAGGAATAAATATACATAAACGAGAATTATTGAAGCCGCAACTAATGAATTAATTTTAATCAATTTGTCTGTTCTAGATAGTAGAAAAAAAATGGCTAATGGAGAGCTGTATGCAAATGAGAAAACTTACTTGTATTTGCCACTATCTGTGCTCTTAGCATTCACCACGAGCAAACTGCCATTCTGCAGCTGAAAGAATCTGTCGATACGAGGAGAATGGGAGTCAATGTTAATAAACACATAGTGGGAATCAGAGTGCAATATTTCTCTCCATTATCACTCATCAGTGGCAATTAAATTCATATTCAATTCGTGCTGTGAATGATAAAACCTTCACTCGCCTGTTATCTCTCTGATACTCTGCATCTCCTGCGGACGGAGGAATGGTCTTCAACTTGAACGTCCACGTCACATTGGCCCTTGGGGTGCTGCTAAACGGACAATTTAATACTAAAGGACTCCCAGTCTCCACCAATATGCTCGATTCATTACTCCCACGTTGAAACTCTATCGTCCAAATCGTGTCGGTCCGAAAGGTGGATGAGAGGCAATGGATAGAAAAAAAGGGAATAAGAGCAAATATTTGGTCAATGGAGGGAAAAGAAAATCATATCGAGAAGTTATGTGATTTGCAAAAATTTTCCACACACACACAGCTTAAGCCAATTGAAGTGCCATCAGATTTGCCTCCAAAACAATAAAAAAAAACCCTCACTCAACACACTACACACAGTCCAATTGGCTCATGCAGTGCCGGGGAAAAAAGGTCCACACTCACCTGTCCTATAAATTTTACTCTCCCGAGATATAATAGCGCCATAAATTGATTTTGTATCATTGACCAAACATCGATAGTTGCCATTTGCATGGTCTGAGTAGAAAATCTTGAGTGTCCCATTGGGAAAGATGCGGAAAATGTGATTTTCCTCCACAACAGGTTCACCATTGCGATACCACGTATAGGAAAATGATGGGACCTGAAGAAAATACAGGCAAGACAGACAGATCAGTTTGTGAATGACAGTTACAAATGATTACAGTGAATTTAAAAAGATGAAGAAAATAACATACGGAAATTTGACGACGAAAGCGAAATACATCAAAATCATCATCAGTGTCCTCTTTCGCATCATTGTCCTCATCATTTATTACACTCGAGTCGTCAGTAGATTTCGGAAAATCCTCTGAATTCACGTGAGATAGCAAGACATTTGGATTATCCTCGTAATTATTAGTATTTAGGTCTTCATCCTCATCATTAGTATTGTCATAATCTTCCTCATCGCCGTCATAGTTGATATCTTCGCCGACGTAAGAAAAAACACCTGAAATTAAAATAATGGCCCATTAAACATCTTCTTGATAAATGAACTCTCTTCTCCACTTTTGCCAGAGCAAATATATTTTAAAAAAATCACCCAAGTGGTCCAGCGCAATTCGCTAAAGTCCATAATTTCAACAAATTTCACATCTTGTATTCCCACCAATAAATTTATTCTCGCCCAGAGACAGGAGGCACAAAAAAATTCACCCAAGAATCATTTGAAATGCAAAATGTTTTTCGTGTTTACGCCGAAAAAAAAAGAATCCTCCAAAATAGCATCCAAATCTAATATGGACATTTTATACATACACATACGTGATAGATGATATATTGCTAAATATGCAGACAATTTATGCGACTTGATTTAAATGGTTTCTCAATCACAGATTTGGTATCAAGATCAAACGAGATACAATTTATAAATTCACGGAATTCACCCGAAAAAAAACTCATTTCTGATAGCAATTAAGTTTTGCACAAAAGTCGTGAATTTTTCGCTTTAATTCCAATTCTTCTCTATCGAAAGTCTGGTGGTGATTAATATTCAGAGACGGAAAATTACTACTGAAACACCCGTGATTAATTAATTACATAAAAGTTTTAGACATAATTGGGATGTTTGATATAAAATTGCTAACCCATCTGTTTGTTAAACTTATTCGTCAGGATTGTGAAAGTTACATTTTTCTTCTACACACACGCACAGAAGATTACATTCAGCCCAAGCGCAACAATTAAGGTCGAGGATAACGATAGTTTGACCATCAGTTTGTCCCTATTCTGCCATTCTAGAGACCATGACGAGAGATGCATTGATGGACTAATTGAAAACTTACGTGTGAAGTTCACAGTGCATGGCAGAAGCAGAGGCGCTTTTCTCGAGACAATACCAGAGGATGGCGGCTCCCGGGCGAAGCTTAATCTGGGGCCCGGTCCATCTTTGTTGATAAAGGACGACACTGCAAGAGAAGGGCAAAAAAATAGAGCACCAACAATTAATTGCGAGTCGAAATAGCAGCATTGTGGACAAGCGCAGAATGGGCAAAGATTATAGAGGCCAAGAGCGAGAGCAAGATGAGTTTGAGGAGTGTGTTGTTTATAGTTAGAACCTTGGAGAACTATTTGCTATTCTTTTCGGGTGGCAAATTCTTTTTTTTCTTCTCTCTTTCTCCTTCCTTTTCCACTCCATTCCATACGGATAATATATATATATATAACATATATCGTGTATTGTTCCAAAAAAGAAAATTAGACCTAGACACTCTCAAGTGGATAAATTACTCAAAATTGTTTTCAATGAAGAAATTAACCTAATAATCTGATGAAGGCATACGATGTGCCTTATATATGTGTCACACACCATCAACTTGGAGTACTCAATGAACGTGTCTTGTCGTCTCATTCATTCCTCTCCTCTCTCTCAGGCCCCACATGCAATCTCTTCTCCACATATTTTTTTTTTCGTCTTATTTTACGATACACAACATTACAATTTTCTTATCATATTTCACCGCGATGCACATGGAAGTGCGCTATATTTTAGATTCACCACATTCACACACACACAGACAGCTAGAAACAAACACTTCCAGCTCAATCGAGCTCAATTCAACCCGCGCCTTTGGGGTGTTTTGCAGAGGAGTGGGACGATAAAGGTAGAAAACACGGAAGAAATCAATTTTCATCTGTTAATAAGCAAATTACCTCCAACACCCCTCTTCTCCACACTCCGCGCGCCAACCATTCACTAATAAATAATATTTGACGATAGAGTAGAGAGATATGAGTGTAATGCGGACACACATGGGAGATCTTTTAATTATTCCACCACAATTTTCATTGTATATAAATTAAATTATAATTTCATTTTGCAATCTTACCACTTCTGCAAACTCTTTCGCCTCATCCACAACTCTACAATTACTAATCACACTCTCAGGTCTTAATCATTTTATTGCTATTGTAAGTTAAATTGCTCTCTCACTCTTTTTATGCATAAATATATGTTTTTATTGAGATGATGATGGAGAGATTCCTCATCATCAACTCGTTGGTTGATTGTTTGGGGAAAAACGCCAGAGTGTGAACGGGACGGAGAGAGATAGAGAAAATTAACTCACATGGAAGATCGACAAGCCATCAAGAGAGTGGAACTGAGAATCATATTAAATTTGTTTATCAAAATCAAGGTCGAGACATATTAAAAAAAAACTCTTCCAAGACTGGGAACTGAAGAATACGGCAAGAGGAAAAAAGAAGCCTTGAGATCGCAACATATTACATTACAGGACTGTGTCGGTGTTGAATTGACAACAATTGTGTGTCTAGTTTTTCTCATGCAAAATCCTCCATTTTTCCCCTTCATGGTGATAATATTCTTCAGCTGACACTGTGTAATACTAAACAGAGCAACATTCAGACACTTCCATATCCACACACTTTATGCTTTTCCTCATCAATATTTGCCATCTTTCTCGCATTATGCTTCGGTGTAACCGATGAAAGAAAGCACCCACGAGTGTGTAACAAGGGACAAATAAACCCTGAGAAATAAGAAACACAGTGAGATTTCCTCAAAGGACAAACACACACACACTCTCTAGAAAATGATAAACAGCGATGAAAATAGAAAATTCCATGAATTCACCTTTTATGTCATTCGCACAATTTTTTTTCTGCTACCTTTTCTCTTCACTCTCACCATAAATAATAACACTACGCGTCAATTTTGCATCTCCAGCTAAGTGTTCTTTTATTACTTTCCTCATTATTTTATCACACGTGCTCAAAAACCATTTTTTCTTCTTCTTCTCTCCTGGTGAGTGAAATTGTATGAAAATTTATCATTCTCTCTTCTTATCCCTTATCTGTCTCATTTCTTGCCTAATTGGGAGGATATCAATTTGCAAAATTACAAAAATGAGAAGAGAAGAAGAAAATTTGCCGCAAAACAAACACGAAGAGTCACTTATGGTTATGAATTTACAGTGTCTTTCATTTCACATACTCACACACACACAATAGGAGAAAAATATACTTCTTTTTCTTGCTCATCTCCTTCACAATTAGTTGCCTATTAATGATGTTCATTCACTGTGCAAAAGCAACGCTTCTTTCAAGAATATCTGCGTCTCACTTGTGATTTGAGGAAGTATATAGCATTTTAAATTTCCTTTTACCGCCACTTCTTCTTCTTACTCACCACGGCAACAGTCCAATTAAACTCATATTCTTCTTGTTGATTGTTGACTTTTAATTGCTACTTTTTTTTTCGGCAATTCTACCACCAAAATAGAGGACAGGAAATAAACAATTTCATTAGAAGTACACTCGCCACCTAATGTATCAAATTCTACTTCATTCTTCTCTGATGTTGTTCTTTATTGTGAACCCCGTGTTTTATTGCGTGTAAATTGTGCGAAGATATTTCAGAATACACTTTTCAAAGCATCAATGCCCACGACCAAGTCCAATTTGGTAGCAACTTGTGACAGTTATGTTTCTTAAGATTCCAAAATAACGCTAATTTAGTGATTCGAGATCTGTGAGATGATTTTTTCTACAATTATTACTAATAATACAAATTCACATTTCAACGGGTGAATCGAAAACTACCTAAAGTCAAAATCACCATTTATCAGCAGAGTGAGTTCAAAATTTAGCACTTAAAAAGCAGCGAATCGCTCGTTAAAGTGCAAATATTGCTCTGTATTTTTTATTTTGTAAATATTTTAGTTATTTCATTGGTATCTTTAGGAATTTATGACAAAAATATGGCAAAAGTATAGAAAATCAGAAAATATTACTTTCCAAAGTCGATTTTATCGAAACTTTTCATACTTTACTTGAACTTCTCCTTATTGTTTCCAAGTGAATAAATTTTAAAGATAAGAGAAAAATTCACTCAAAGTCTTAAAAACATTTTAGGATAATTTTGAAAATCTATAATTATTTTCTGAAGAGGCGTTTTATGCGTTTGACTGCAATTTTTGAGACATTTTTCTTGGAAAAATTGTGCGGCGTAATCAATGAATATTCGTAAAACATGACAATTTTTTTCCATTTGTGCTTCTTAGATAAATAAGATTTTTTACTATTGTCTCATAAATTAGAAATCTCAAAATTTTTTCTCAGGAAGAACAAATAAAAAGCTTTTCAAAAATACATAAGACGAAAACTATGATAAATCGACTCTTCATAGTTTTCGATTCACCCGTCGATTTTGCATTCCTTTCCAGTGAAATCAATCAATAGAATTAGGCTCAGACCAAAATCTATTGATTTGATTGAAAAGAAGAAAAAAATCCACGTTGCATTTCATATAAAAGTCATCATCTTTGCTGGAAACTTGAGTGCCCACGCAATATTTCCCAGTGACAAAATAAATGTCTTATGGGAGTGACAAATTGAGTATTTTGAGACAACAGCAGCAGCAGCAGTTTTCCCAGTTGCGAAGCTCAAACTCACAACTTTATTTATATGTAAAGAGGATAAAAGAGAACTTTTAAATAATTTCAAGTTTCAATAATTTATTCTATTTCATCGATCTGGAAAAAGACACTTTAATTGAATTTCATAGTCAAATGTATTCTAGTTGGTCTGTTTCGTGAGACAAGTTGATGAATTTTTTTTCTTTTCAGTTTTCGTCAAACAGTTGCTGAGCCTCTTTGCAAAATACATACATATATTCGCGCACTGACCGCAAAAGTCTCAACCTCGGATTGACGCGAAGAGAGACAATTTGATTTTCAACACTGCTCGATTGTGGTCCTGATCTTGATGATGATTTTATTCGATCAAAGATTTTTTCTTGAATATCTCGATTAGCCTTTTTTTTCGGCAGCTCACAGACTCCCTTTGTTTTTTTTTCTTTTCTCTCTTTTCTTTTACGACTTGAATCCACCAAACGAATTCCGCGTGATACTTTTGCTAACTTGTCTTCCTTTGCGCGGTGTGTCTTCTTCTGTCATCTCTATTTGTCTCCCCAAACAGACTCTTTTTCCATTACAGGCTAGAAAATTTCCACATTCAGCAATGACATTGAGACGAGAATTTTTCATACAATTCATTCCGTATGTAAAACTATTCGATCTCTAAAGGGGAGAAAACATTTGCTATTCTATGCTATATCAAAATGATAATTGTGACTCTTTTTCCGTCTTCCACATCCACTCTCCATCGCATTCTGACACATTCTCGCACACACTCTTGAGAGTGTCAACTCTTTTTCCGCCTTGTCTTACCCTCTTCATATTGCAAATTCCCCAAAAAAAAAGAGAGACCATCACTCACGTCATCAGAGCTAGAAGTACAATTCGGCTATTAACAATTTCATAATTACGGCCAGTCTGTTTCAGATGTCTTTTCAAAGAGGGGTTTTTCGCAATTCCGACATATTGCGAAATTCCTCTAATGAACTGTTTTCCATCCCTTGATTATTTATGTGTTAAAAATAGATTCTAGAAAATCCATCTCATCCACGTCAAAATATTAAATGTCAAGAAAGATGTTAAGAAAACGCTCTTAAAAACTCAATTGAGAATATGCGGAAAACAATTTCAATATAATACCCAATCTTCAAACTCAGGATAAATGTGGGCAAGAGAGGGAAAAACATAAGATTTTGAGGATTTGCGAAGCTGTGAGAGATGAACAAGAAGAATGGATGACGGCATAAATGCGATCTCTTTTGTGGCATTAACAATGCCCTGAGGGATTGCTAAAAATGTTGTTTAGCTGGTTCCCTGTTTCTGCAATTAAACCACCACGACACATTGTGGCAGAATGACACGAGAAAAGCCGAAAATTGTCATGTTAAACTGCTTTGCATTTATGTATAATTTCATATATATGAATTTTAATATGTTGCGAAATGCAGATTAGAGGCGGGAAAACCTCCAGATTAGAGTGAAATCGTCTGTTAAATCAGTTACAAGAAGTTATTCGCCGTTTAGGTGAA